TTTGAGGCGAGATGTGCGGTTGGCTCCATACCAGAGAGGCTTGGGGGGTTGGCTTTTTCCTGTGGTGAGAGGAGGGATATGGGTTTTTTGTCGTCATAGCTAGCGCTCCATACATTTTTTGTACCCTAAACAAATAATCAATGAGTTAAACAAAAAAAAAAAATCTCTAGCTTAAGTCTATCATCAGCGACCGGAGAAGAGATCTTATCAATATATTCGTTCTACTTTACTTCTATCTTTACGAGCCTTCTTGACTATCTCCGAGACAGAAGATTACAGGGCCTAGTGTATACTCGCTTAACTTTAGAGTTACCTACCCCTAACACTCACGCAACGTCTTTTCCAAATATCAATACCTCAATTTTACTATGAAAGCTTTCTTTTCTATCCTACTTAGCTTCTTGTTATTCTAGAACATCATTCATCCTCCAATTATTCCTCCTTAGTGAGCCCTACAAAGTTCCTTCCTATCACATCCATCACCATCCCCCTCCTCCTCCAAACAAATACAATTTGGACCCTCCTCCACCGAGGAAATCCGTGAGACCCCGCCTGAGGAGACTCCCAGGGGCCCCGCCCCACCCATGCCCCAGATGGCCCCCGGCAAATTTCGGTGGGAAGATACAGGGCCCCGGACGGGGACGGGGCGGGGAGGACTGCCACAGTACCCCCCTGAGCCCGCGTAATAGTGGGGCCCATGAGGGTAAACCCTGCCCCACCCTACCCCATAATGAACACTAATAACCAGTATATCGGCGTTCTAGAAGTAATCCGCAAACATGTCTTGAGCAAAGGACAAGCCTAGGGGGCTTTCAGAAGTTGAAAGCAGAAATTACAGAAATTAGAAAAGATATTAAGAGTGAAGTGGGGGGAGTTAGGACAGAGACAAGAACATGGTTATTCTTTATAATAGGGACTATTTTTTGCATAGTAGGTTATGGAGAAATCATTTTCCCAACCTCTTTATATTAACACTTCTGTAGATTAGTATCAAGCTCTTCTACTACAATTCAATACAAGAAAAAAGGAGATATAGGAGAAGTTTGGAAAGCAACTTTCAGTGAGTCACAGAAGTGGAGGGAAAGATTGAGGGGATCTATAGTAAGGTAAAGGAGATTCATAGTGAGATTCATGGTAAGATAAAGGAGATATGTAGTGAGACTCATGGTAAGATAAAGGAGATATGCAGTGAGATTTATGGTAAGATAAAGGAAATAGGTAGTGGGATTTGTAGTGAGATGAAGGAAATACATAGTGAGATCATAAAGGCTTTAAAGTCAAGGGGTTAGTTTCGGTTTCAATCTACTGGGCTATTAACATCAAATCATATGGGATAATAAAACAAAAAAATCCATTAAATTATAGAAACAGACAGTTTTAAATCAATATTAGTAGTTAGAATTCATTAATTAAACTACTTATACTTGTAGATTACTGGTCCTTTTAGGTTACAAAGTTCAAGTAAAAGTATGCTATCATATATGTTTTGGAGTGCTTGCACTATAGCATTTTGCAGACCAATAGTTATTGTTAGTTAATATGCAAAGGTAGCTATCATAATCACTACACAATTATTTTAAGTTGAGGTTGTATTTTGCTTACTGTTGTCTTGATACTAGATACATATACCATATTTAAAAGGTACGGAATCTGCATGTCTCATCTGTTGAAGGGATAGCAATGATTTTCTGGTATCATTGGCGCCCCGGAAACGTTGATAATGCACCAGTAGCATGTTGAGCCTTCGTTAGGGTTCCCGGGCAAGCCTAAACCCCTAGCAGGAAGGGGGCACATCAGGTGCGCACGGGTGAAAACCTCCTTGCAGGATAAGTAGATTGGAAAAGCAAGGGCAGGGCCCGAAGGTGATGGTTAAACATTTTTTTCACAGAAGATTTGGCCGTGAAAATGATGAGTATTTTTGCTGGTTTTGATTCTGTCAATGGATTAAATTCTTCTATGAAGCCCCCCTCCCTCTTCATAAGAGTGCCACATTTACTTTCCTAGGTTGGGAAGGGTTCCTTCCACCTGTTATGTGGGGTTCTGAAAGATGTATCACAGGTGGTTTTATGCCTATTATTGGTTGTTGTCATGACTTGCTCTCATTTTTTAGTGCTTTAGGATTTCATGTCATAATAGCGGTTACATGGAGAAACTGTACCCTAAAACGATTGAAGGATTTAACAGGAAAAAAAGGGGGGGCTTGATATTGTATTCCGGATAGAGAACGCATCTCCAATGGATATGGATAGGTATCGTAGCAAAATGGGGTATGAAAAAATTCAAAATCCATCTATGGAAGCTTAAAAAGGCATCCCCGGGGCGTGTTTGGATCTCGGGGCTTTTCGTAGAAGTTGAAACCTGACTCCGACTCACTGAGTATCACTCGAAAACCATTCACCGAAGATGGAGGGAACGAGCTTCCGACTTGCGCGGCCCCTTTTACGAGGAGACCGTCGGGATGCCACCGGCATAAAATCGGGCCTTGTCATTACACTAGGACATCCTCTTCGAACCGCCGGATCAGGCGAATAATACCCTAAGAGGGGGGGTGAAAGGGCGTATAAAGTAAGAAAGAATATAGTAAAATAGTTTCCAGCGTTCCACTTGTTTTTACAATTTTTTTTTGTGTCTTCGGCTTGACTATTAGGGCAGACGGTGCAGTACCGTACAGTTATCTTGGGGTTAAAACATTTCTAACGCGGCGCCCAACGTGGAAGGTTCGCACGCCCCGCGTCAATTGCAGCCGTGTTGTACGAGTGGAACCGTGTTGGGGTAACCCTGGTATTAATATTATACAATAGGCTCTAGTTGCTGTGCTAGTATGATGCGATGCTATCAAAATTAATAACGAATCTCAGTATGAGGGTTTATGGCCCGATGTACTAGTACCGGTACTACAGGTACCTGTAGTACTAGTACTGTACCGGTACCTGTCAATAAAGCGCCCCTTACCGGGTTTCTGGCTTCGCTCGCGGTACTCGAGGAATGTGCACAAATACCGGTACCCTCTGTGTGTCGGAGGCCTCCGCTCGAGTAGCCAGATTTAACCCAGGTGAACCGGAACCATGCCCGGGCGGTTTTTTTTTTCCATGCGCCACCGGAAAAACCTGAATATGGGGGGTGGCAAATTACAATACCCGCATTAGCGAAAGGCTAGCGGCAGTTGCCGGAGAAATTAATCGAGGGTCATCGTTATTGTTTAATGTTCTAGAAAGATTGCCGTGTGGGAGGCCATGTCTGAATCGAGTATCAAGGCCGACGGGTCTCCATAGTATACTGTAGTGTGCATGATGTATCTATTTTGTTTATGTTAGGATATCGCGCTAGATATTCCAGGGTTTTGAGTTAGAATACTCGTACTTTCTATTCTACAAGTACGTGTGCGTGCCATACGGAGCTGGAACTCATGGCTGCTAAAGTGCACCTTTATGTCGATTTCGTTTCATAGGTTAGTGAGTATGGATACCGTAATCGATTTGAATTTTACATCCTAAGGGTATCATAATGGATGACTTGCCCCAGACATCCGGAGTATGTTTCCTAAATTTCGGGCAGCTATATCTCTGCATTAACAGACTGCTGTTGAAAAGGATTACCGAAAGAGCTCTCTACCCATACCCGGAGCTAGCAAGGTAGTAGGTAACCATTTCTAAATATGTCCCGTTCCATCCGTGATGGCTTTCTTAGGTGTTAGTGTAGATTAAAGAAAAATGCCGGCCTTGGTCTATGTTCTTCTGCGGATTTTTGTCAGATGGTAAGTCGATGGTGGGACCCTTGAAGGGTTTGAAGGGGTTTTGCCAAAAGAAAGGAGATGGAGAGAACATTCCAATTTGTGATGTATATATCATACTCGAGTGTAGTACGGTATGATAATATGATACTATTTCTGCATAGGCATGCCGGGTAACTTCCCTCCCCACCCGTCTACCGGAGTCCCTTGACGGCCTTGTACTGGTAGGGGCGCCGAATTATGCTTGCAGATATTAATTCTTGCGGTATGATACCAATTTTTTATAACTATTCTGGTCTTTGTCTTGTAGTACGAGCATAGGAGTGGTCAGACGGGTTCTGAATCCGAAGGGTCCCAAAGTATGTAATAAAACTACTTGTATACCGCCAGGGTTACCGTGGGGGGGGGGGGTGGACTCCCGACAACCCTACAATCAAACAGAGGCGGACCTCACGTTTGAAAAGTTGCGATTTTTGAACTAGGGTGTTGAGGATGTGGGGCCGGTGTGGTGTGCATCGACATATACCATTTTAAGGCTACTTTTCGTGCACGAACCAATCCTCATAAGAGCGTATCGCCCCGCACTCTCAGAAGGCGATTTGTGGAACCCTCCATGCACCATGGATTCTGACAGGCAATACCGGCATCGACCCACAAGATAGCGAAAAGGGTGACGAATGAGTACCGGCGCTGTGCCCGGATTTCCACTACCGGTGCTCGAGCATACGAGTATTGTACACTCGGGGCGGGAATAAAATCCGTAAACATTGATGTAGTGAATGCTCAATAACTGGATATTCGGGCTTAGCCAGGTAGCAGCTTCGGAAATCAAAATTTACCGATTTTCATCTTTAAAGCGTTCGCGGAATTTCTTCTCTTTTAACATATATACCCCTGCATGTGCATACGGCCTATGGACTTCATTTCTACCCCCCCTCCAAGTTCTGTTCACGGACTAACCTTGACACCCGAGTATCAGCGGTGCAGCACCATACGTACAGTACGAGTGTGGCCTTCAGCTAGGGCACAGATTGAGGTCGTTCGGGAACGCGACAGCCCGAAACCCACCAAAATCGAGGGGTTTTTGTATGGGAAAGATACATTGGAGCGGACCTTGGTTAGTTCACATGCTCACGGCTTAGTATGAGCTTGAGCTGAGAGCCTGAAATGGAATATATCATACTTCGGACATGCTAAAAGTTTTTTTTCAAAGCAGATTCCATTTGTACTCGCACCACAAAGGCCAATGAATGGGCTTGGCAAACCGCAATCAGCAACAGTTTTTTTTTTACACCACGGGCGCAAGTACCAGGTCAGATATCTCCGTACAAGGCAGGGATTATCTTGCTGGCTACTATCCTTGCCTTGTACGAAAGCATCTTACCTGGTACTTTTACTTTGACGAATTCACTTCTTTGCTCGTCAAACACCCCGTACCCCTACTGTATCTGTGTTCGCCACTCGACGGGTTAAGGCTACGGCTACGGTGCAAGGAGGTGAGAAGGGTGGGTTTGCTGCCCCCATTACACCATGAGTAACTCACTGGGTTAGGTGTCACAATCGCTATAATTTATTATAGAAGCCACAGGATTTAGGAGACTGGTTGTGGCTTGCCTGTGAAGGGTGGTTTTAGTTATAGTGTGAACGGGGGTGGCGAGCTCGCACCTCTCCCTTCCCGACGCCATACCATGGGTAGAGAAGGAGAGCCATCGCTACTTATACCCCCCAAGCTCAGACTACCCCCCGCTGAATCATGCGGTAACTTAAGGGGGTTGTCGAAAACTAGCGTCTCAACAAGTGGATGGTTGAGTTTCGTAGCCCGATGTTAGTGTACTTTTAACATCTCTTTCAGGTTCTTGCTCGTTGTGTTGCGTTTATATCCTTCCACGGCTGACGGGGAAAAGTGTGCGGGACAGTTAATATAGACGGCAATTTTTTCTGTATTGATCTAGAAGGGAGCTGTGATATAGGGTGAGAATTTAGAATCCCGGAGTTGGACCTTCTTATCGTGGACTGTCGCCGCCAATCAATAGAGCATTTGGGCAAGGGGTTCGGAGGGCATTTTCAGAGGGACACTTTATCGGAATTGGGCGGTAACCTTCAGGTGGATCAGCAATTACAAAGGCTAGACGCTACCTGACTATCTACCCAGCCATTCGAACTCCGATTACAAGGGTAATTTTAACAGAAGCCGGTCTGTTCGCTTTTCCTTGACCGAACCTGCGGTTGCATCCCTGGAACACCCCAAGTCACGGGTTGCAGGTTGCCTGGCCGGAGTGATAATCCATGAATCTCGCTTCATGAAATACCGGTACTCCCATGCGCTACTGGGATGACGTAGCAGTCTTTTTTTTGGGGGTGGAGCTGAGGTCTGGAACCCGCACCGCATAATAGGGAACGAAGAAAAAAGGGGGAGCTCGTTCTGAGCATCGTGCCGGTCTTGTGTCACATGCAGATGACGCTATTCTTTTTTGGAGGTGCCTGGACGGCGATGTCTGCGCTGCGCTTGTTAAATGAGTACCAGTGTGATACCTGCAAAGTACAGTACACGTGTGTAATACCGGGGGTGAGGCTTCAACGGTCCGATGGTTGGATAAATGTGATTGGGGATGAAGATGTGCTTATCGGGGGATTCTACCGCTCCTCCCCATTGCTGTAGCTTGTGAAGGTTCTCGCTAGAGCGATGGCTAACCTGGGTCTGATTGGATGTTTGGTCGCTTGTGGAACTTGGAATCTCTGCTAATAATTCCCTTGCATAGGGGGTCACAAAATCTAGCCCTGTCACGCGGTATATAGGGTATTAGCGTTCGGTACCCAGGGTATTTTGTTTTGAAGACGACCGCACCTACCCTGCACGGACGGGCGGAATTGCCAATAAATAATACGAGTACAGCGACGACTGTAGCAGTGTCCGGCTTCTGTGGTGGCCGGCCGTTGTTGGGGTAAGAGTGGTGTAGGAAATTATGGGAGCGTTTCCGTTTTGTTAGAACATTAGAGATAAGTTACTGTATAGTACACTTTCGAGCTGGGGGGGTAGTTAGAGTTGAAACTGTGGATCATCACTAGCAAACAGCGAAGCATATTTATTTACGTCTTCCTTCACTGACCTAGCTAACGCCTAGCATCATCATCGCGCCTAAAGGGCTTTATAGAGCGCCAGTATGCTACGATGTAGTGGGAAAAGTTCAGGCTATGAAGCCTACTTTGGGCCAAGGTTGGCTCAGGGATTCGGTGGCTGTCTGGCCTTGGCGTGGTATGGCCGTACCCGTATTTGTGCCTTCTGTCGTGGAATCTATTTGCACGTGGGGCGGTATTTCTACACTTTGCTCCACCGCAAGAAATGGAATGGTTAAACCTCACGCTGGGACGTTGAAGTTGCCTTTCCGAGTAAGGTCTGTCATGTTTTTCTTTTCGTTTCAGGGGAAGGTTGAAGGCCGGTTCCTCTCGAGGTGGTTCCCCCCTTTTATCCAAAGAGGGGAATTCTTGACGCCCCAGTGTGAGGTTTATTCCAGTTTCTATAGCATTGATTTGTGTTTGTTTTTTGTTTTGCTTCTCGATGCTTGGGCCACGGTGTCGCTATAGTGGCGTGCTTGAGTACCTATCCGGTGGCTGCCCATCATGCACAGAAGCCGCCACTGAAGACATGAGATCTGGTTGAGGCAGCATCAACCGTCTACCGGGAGCGTATGGCTTGTTTTCTGCAAGGATTTAGTGGTTTAGCGGTCCGGAGTGCCGTCGAGAGGAGCTTGCTTTTGTCCTGTGGAACTTCGGTTCGTTCCGCAATGGTTGGCGGGCTCGGGGTTTTGAGATCCGGAAAGGAAAAAGAAACTCTGAGACTCCCCAAGATCTTAGCCCTCTGCGAGATTTCCATTCAACTTAGCGCCGGTCGATCTTTATCGAGAACCGGTAGAGCGCTACTTCAACGGTCAGTCTCTGCTCCAAACAAACATCCACCATCTCCAGCCCCCTTGTCAGGTCTCAATTAGGTTGATAATTCTCGGACAAATTCCGACTCGCCGAGGTGAAAGCCCTCGCCCAGGCACCATATTAGAAAGGGACTACCTGTTTGTCCGTTTCACCCCTAAGAGGTTACAGTAGTATCATATCAAAAACACATGAGAGCCGTGCCGGTAAGTAGAACCCCCTCTACCGCAGGTACAGTGTTCAAGCACTTGTATCATACCAACTCCACCAGCAGCAGTACAGTACGGTACAAGATCGAGGCTAAAATCAAATGCCAGGCAGTAAGAACTGGAGGCTTACCAGTTACCAGGGCTCTCCACCACTTCCACCCCCTGGTTTTCTAATGTCAACCGTTTGCTTATCTCCTCACACCGCGCCAGGGTAAAAGCAAACCCTTTGACTGAGGGTGTCAAATGGAGCCCTAGATCGTAGAAATCGAACGCGCTTACGGAGCACTGCATCCGCTGTCTTCCGTTTTGCTCCCCTTCCCCTGATCCTTTACGGTTAACTTCAGAATACGCTCCAGTGATACCGCACTTAATCTATGAGATCCCACTTGCTCTGGAAAAGAATGATGGTAGTTTTTCCCGCTACTTCATTTACGGTATCAGTATAGCACCGTGCCACCCTACTATCTCTCTGCATATAGGGCAACCGGTAGGGGGAAAGAACGACAAGTTGGTGCAGATGGACAAGGGGAAAAATAGAAGGGGGGGAGAAGGATTGGAATTTGTACTACCTCTGCAAATTATCTCCCACACGACACACCGACTCACCTGCATGGATAGGTCGGTCTTGTTTATTTGTCTCCCAAGTAAGAGGTTGTGCGAGAAGCGTCTGATATCGCTCTTGTACTAATGCTTAGACTGTCGACTTTTGCTTGGAATACTAAAATTTACCGAAACTATGGGGGCTGCTCGGCAGACATGGGTTTCTAGCTATGGGATGGTATTTTGTGGGTTTCCCCACCGCACGCCACCGAACGGCAGCCAGAAATGTAAAACAATTAGTTGCTGGTAGGAGTAGGGCGGGGGGTTACACTTTTCCCATCGGCCCGGTAGTTTATAAAGAGGGAGCTCCCCCGCAGACTTTTTCTTCGCTCTTTGACTACCTCACTCTCCACCCTCCATATTCATCGCGAGGGAGACTGACGATTGCCCCACATGTCGGAGGTAAAGACTGCCCCCAACGTCCCCGCTTACCAGCCTGGCCAAGGGAAGAAGGAAGTTGTCGCGAATGTATTACTCGCCGATGCCTTGGCCCAGGCCAAACCTAATCCATGGACTGCGAGGATGTTCAAGCTTTACTTCTTTCTGCTTATTGCTTTCCTGAATTCGTGTATCAATGGATACGATGGTTCATTGATGGGGGGTATCAACGCGATGAAGACCTATCAAAGGTGAGCTTACTAATTACCAAGCGATAGCTGAGCTATCCGCTAATTCCCCGGCAGTTATTTCAATATGAAGGACGTTGGAAGCAGCACCGGATTGGTATTCTCCATTTACACCATCGGTAACATCGTTGGATCGTTTTTCTGCGGCCCGTTCACAGATTGGTGGGGTCGAAGATGGGGTATGTTCATTGGCGCCAGCATCATCATTCTCGGAACCTGCATCCAGGCTCCTTCCACTAGCAAGGCAATGTTCATTGGTGGCCGTTTCATTCTTGGTTTCGGTGTTGCTACTTGCGCTACTGCCGTAAGCTTTCATACCCTGCATCCGTCGGGCGGCAAAAGCTAAGAAACTCCAGGGTCCCTCATATGTTGCTGAGATGGCCCATCCCGCTTGGCGGGGAACCATTACAGGCCTGTACAACACCTTTTGGTTTGTTGGTGGTGTTCCGGCATCGTGGGTCCTTTGGGGAACTGAGGGTGTGTTTTGCTCTATGCGCCCATTAAAATAGAGGTTCTTATTGCTAACTTTGTCTCGAGGCATCAAGGGCGATCTCTCATGGAGACTTCCCATCTGGCTTCAAGCCGTTGCTTCTGGTGGTGTTATCATTGGCTGTCTCTTCTGTCCTGAGACTCCCCGTTGGCTGATATCCAACGACCGCCACGAGGAGGCGCTCGAGATCATGACCGAGTTCTACGGCGAGGGCGACCGTGAGTCACCAATAGTCCAGCTGACATACAATGAAATGATTCGGGAAATCACCACCGAAGGATCAGATAAGCGCTGGTGGGATTACAGAGATCTCTTCAACTCAAGCAGCTCATGGTGGCGTATGTTCTGTGTTATCGGTATGGCTTTCTTCGGACAATGGGCTGGGAACGGCGCCATTTCCTACTTCTTGCCTGTACTTCTCAAGGCCGTCGGTGTCGAGAGCCCCAAGACCCAATTAGTGTGTTTCCATGCCCTTATAGCCAGAAGCCCAGATCTAATAATCTTCTTAGCTCTACAATGCCATCCTGAACCTCATATCCTTTGTAATGTCCACAATCGGTGCCCGCTTCACTGACCGTCTCGGTCGCCGCCCCGTCTTGTTGATTGCTACAGCACTCTTTGTTATCGAATGGTCTATTGTCACAGCATTGACTGCTACTTACGGGCGCGAGGACAACACCAATGAGAACGGATCCCGTGCGGCTATCGCCTTCATTTACCTCTTCGGTATCACCTACTCCTTTGCCTACACTCCCCTCCAAGCCCTCTACCCTGTCGAGTGTCTCTCATTCGAGACTCGTGCCAAGGGTATGGGGATGTATAACTTGTTCGTCAACATTGCTGCTTTCTTGTAAGTATACATTTTATTACCAACTCCTTCATCGGAATATATCACTAACAATTCATATAGCAACACCTACGCCATCCCAGTCGCATGGGAGCGTGTTCAATGGCGCTTCTACTACTTGTATATCGCCTGGAATATTTTCCAAGTCATTTTCATCTACTTCTTCTTTGTCGAGACCAAGGGCCGAACCCTTGAGGAGATCAACGAGATCTTTGACGCCCCCTACCCCAAGAAGAAGTCGTTGGAAAAGCACGTTGTTGTTATCACCGAGCATGGCGCTGCGGAGAAGTACTTTGGGTTGGAGACCCACGCGTAAAAGCATCCATAGTTCTTTCATGATTGGTTTTTATTTTTATTTTTTTCTTTTAGTAGAGTTTATTGGGGTAATTCATTTTAGGGTTTTTTTTGTGGGGGGGAGAGAGAAAACGGGCGGCCGGTTCGGTTTTGCGTGGTTTGCTTTTTTGTGGCGATTTGAGGTTTGGATGTGCTGATTGTATCTTTTGGGGCCCTTGGGAGTTTGCTTATTAGCTGTATTACCGGAATTCAGCCGATCTTAATCGTACCATAACCCACCGTTCCGAACCTGCCGAAATAAATGCAGATGTTCCATGGATGCTATACTTCCCCCAACTAACACCCGCTCCATCAGGTTCACTCACCCTAGAGTACGCCTTGTTCAATCAAGGGTTCCAATTATGCCGATATCGGGGAGAGCGCTTGTACTAAACCTACCGTCTTTTATCCGGCGCCTACCTTCCCACTTCCTTCCTCTTCCCCTCTCATGTCTTTCTCTGCCCTACACAGATTGTGATTCTGGCATCCCGACTTCTGTGCTCCCTCACCCCATACGGCGTGGCAATCGCCGGGGGGGGGCACTGTAACTATCCTCGAAAAACCGCACGTTCGAACCGCCCTCTAACCACTGCTTCCCCGTTCTCGCACCGTCGACACCACCTAATACACAGGACCTGCTTCCTATCCCACCCACCACCCATTCGAGCTTTCCCTCCCATGGTTATTGCTTCCCACCTCCACTCCTAGAAGCGATTAGCCGCACCCGACGATATCGCAGATTCGGTCTTTAGGTACTTCAACCGCTTGCACTCCGTGATTCATGGACTTAGGCACTTAGGCTATATGTGGCCGCTCCGCTACCCTGTCATCCGGCTGTTCTACCCTACCCCTTCATATCGGATGAAGATATCTGAACGAGTGATATCCCGTGATACACCGCTCGCGCGGGTGCCTGAGCTCCGGGACGAAGTCGCTGTGGGGGAGCTATTAGGCTAGTGTACAGAACTGTGGCTGGTGATTTGTGCCTTGGGGAGGAACACTCATTATTAACCTGTACCCTTCCACTTATTAAAGGGTAAGCTACTTGCTTTGGGGTGATTTGGGTGGAGATGAAAAGATAGGTACCCATGACGCCCAACTCCGAGGCCTATGTTATACAGTTGATAACGTACGGTGCTTTTCCAAATCCTGTCTTACTCTTAGCTAGGCCCGCCCCCTTCACCATCGATATTCCTGATGCGATTATTCCCTTGAACGTGATGAGATTTTATCGTTAGTTATCAGTGGTCAATGTTCACGGTTGCCCTCTCTTCCCTTGAGGATATATCTACTTCCATGGTATGGCCAATTGAAGATCACGTAAACCATTCTCCTTAATCTCAGACCTTTTTTTTCTTCTAGATCAACCTAGCAGCAGCAGGAAAGCAACAAATCTTTTCATATGAAGACTGGGAGATTCAAGACCTTAACCTTCCTCAACATGGCTGTGGCGTAATGCCGGTACTGATATGAGCCAGCATCAGATTTCGGCTTTGGAACGCATGACCCGATGGTGGCGTTTGCAACGGTCGTGGAGCGAGGGGGAATTCAAGGGGGAAGGGGAGGAGAGGTTGTTTTTCTTCATTTGGAAGAGCACCCGCAAATACTGAGTGCTATTGAGATGGCCGGATGGGTCCGTAAGACTGACCATTCACCACCAAACCGTGATTCCACTAGATCATTTCTTGGCGGTCTAGTGAAACTCCAAATTTCCCAAAAGAGTCGGGTATGAATAGCTACAACCGGTAGAAAGATCTAGGAATATTTCAATCGCTGCAGCGAAGTCCAAGATAATGCTAGAAGGTTTGTCCTAGAATTTCTTCACTCGAACCTCTGCGCTCGACTATCTGATAACCCTGCGGGGAGGTCCAGCTATGGGACTACAGAAATCCAGGACGGGACTGGAAGGCATCTCTTGTTAATCTAGGGAATGACATCTCACCGCGGCTATCTACTGGGCTGGACGGTGGGATTCCGTACAGGTTGAGACAGAGGTTGCTTAGTAGTAGGGGTAGGGCCACCAGTCGCGTTGACGCACACCGGGGGTGGGGATACTATCCTGTCAACGCATCCGTGCCTAAATCTATTCTGAGTAAGAGTGAGAGGCCAAAAAAGAAGGGGGGGGGGCCAAGTATGATATCATAGAATAAATATACCGATGTGCAAAATCCTCCAAGTTCAAATCTTGAATCCCGCCGTTGCTGTAGGATGGATTTCGGGTTTCTACTTGCTCCCCGGAAGACTGGGGAGCTTTGGGCTCATTCTGAAAACCGGGGGGGTATGATACTACAGGGGCAATTGTGAGAGTGGTCAAGTCCTTTACCTCTGCAGGATGGGAAAGTATTGTACTATTTTTTTCTTCTTTTCTTGAGAAGAGTAGGATATGCGGTGCCCGAATCGAGCTGGATTTCAATAGGTATGCGCGTTCAGAGGGAGTGACGGATGGACAAAGTGGCGGTTCCCTATGAAGGGGATTTTGTTTTAGTGGCATGATATATGATAGTAACATAGAGGGTGACAGCGTTGGCTGGTAAGTTAGTCCGTCCAAGGCCTATCACACCATACACTCATACGGATCGACCTGGCCTTTGGGAGCCCTAGCCTCGCGCGCCAAGTGGCAGCCAGAGAAAATGTATCTTCAAAGCAAGGAATTTGTAAATATCAGTCGCTGCCCACTAACGCCAGAACCCTCTTCTATGCATGCTCGTAGGGTGATATATAGACAGCAGAATCGGCAATGAGCCGCCATTCCTCCTCACCGGTAATACCCACCGGACACTTTACAACAGGGTGATCGACTAGTGAGTGTGACCAGAAAAATTACCGCGAGTGATATCCTGTGAAAGCATATTACCACTCACTCCCTGTATTGATCGAGTTAGTTACGCCCCAGCCGACGCTTGCCACAATCGTGCAATCGCTCTCCTCCGCCAATTGTGTGATTATGCGCGGGGAGAGCCCAGCATGCTATATTATGCACAGAAAGGAATTGTGACCCCCCCCCCTCCCCCCTCCCAACCCCCAAGGTTTGTCGAATTGGGCGCCAATCCCGGGGCACTTCTTTTCCCCTCTTTCCGAATAGCGAATTTCCCCGAGTACCTTCTAGCAGGAGCTTACTTGGGCTTCACTGCGACAATTCATCTGATATCCTTTACCGGTAGCACCCATCCACGCCGGACTCGTTCTGGAGAATGAAGAATGTTTTCCATGAGAGGGAACCGCGAAAGGCTAGTTCTGTTGAGAAACGCCTAACCTTACGGACTTGGTATTATTTTTTTTGACTTTTTTCCTGCAAAACCGAACCACCACATGACGCTTCCAGACTTGGGATCCACATATCAAAAACCCTAGAGTCGGATTCGGTTCATGTCTAATCGGGAGTAGCCATAACTTTTTTTTTTTTACCCTACCCTAAATTACTATTATTATAATTCTTTACCCCCACTACCATCCGGCCAATCGCGGACTCCGCCCTCAGGTGGCGCAGCCCAGAGCCAAATCCTATATACGATATGATACAACTTATGATAATATCGGAACAAACCGGTTCAGCCCTACAGATTTATTGAGAAATGCCCAGGGTCTTAAATCGCCCTGTCCGTCCAATGCTGACTCATTGGAGCTCGTGGGCTCATGAATACCGCGCGTGGGGTAATTAGTCCTCGAAGAATCGACAACTACACTAGCTGGGGACTCCGCGCAACACCAGAACCCCGCGCGACACTGGAAGGTGGGGGAACGAATACCTACGGTATACTGCTGGCAGGTGGATTTTTACATTCCAGTTTGGAGTTAAGGGCGGCAGTTCTAGTTATTGTGGGTGCTGGCGCCCCTTCAAGAGCGCGGGAGTATTTGGAGGGAGTTGCAGATAGCAGATATATGACTGAGGACTATCAGGCCTTCTATACATTAATAGGTGCATAACAGAAGATTACTATCACACAATATTCATTTACTTATGACAGCTTCGTCCAAGGCGGCAGGTCCGACTTTCAAGGCAGGCGCCTGGGTAAGATGGCCAAGACAGGAAGCAAGCTCGAGCCGAGTGATATTTTACGACAGAGGTCTGAAAACAAAGCCTTCCCCAACGGGATTCCGGGGGCGCTTCTTCCGGCCGCCTGGAGTAAACACCGTACTGCTATCACGACAGGTTTTGCTTTTAGTTCTCTGATAATTTGCAGCTCAATTGGATAACTCTGATTGCACAAAATATGGTATACGATTTACAAGTTCATACCATTACGCTCCAGCCTCTAATGTGACAAAGGAAAACCATTAGTACAAACATTCTAAGGAATCCTTATCTCCGGTCGATGTTCTAGTTTCCCAACACAACGTAATCAGACATCCAGACCATCACATCCCGGTGCACCCGGGTATAATAGAAAACTCGGGAAAACCAAGAGATCGCAAGTAGGGAATCGAAACAGTCTTGTTACAGTGCTCGCGACTGGGCAGTATGCATCCCCCCTTAGAGTAGGGGGTGCATTTTGCCTAGGGCCTTCGGCTGAAGAACGGTGAAGACGACCGGCCTCACTATACTGTCTTAGAATGTGGGGCACCACAGGGCCACCAGGAAGCATGTCCGAAAAGACCGCGGTGCTTGCCACAATCTGGTAGGGCCAGTAACATTTGTTCCCACCATCGGCAAGCATAATTGTTCGCTCTCTAGTAACTCCCCACAAGACTGATATCGATGGACAAATTTCTGTCCTGATGACTCGGATCATGAGAGAAGGTAAATAACCCGACCCTGGCTTTACGCCAGCTAACACACACTAAAGGGAATCCCTTAAATATCCCCCCCCCAAAAAAAAGAGAGGACTGGGGGGGGGAGGGTACAGGAAGGCCAGAGGAAGGAGACTGCTAGCAGAGGTGGCCGAGTTCATAATCTTTGCCTATATCCCCCTTTTTAGTGATCCCATAAAGGAATATTTTGTCAAGGAACAAACGTACTATTCCGAAATATAAATACCCTCTGCGTCTCAGCATAATGTGCTAGCAGTCCTAGGATATCCCGCTGAGATACCGTGGGTTGCGGTGTAACTCTCCAACATCACACCAGGCCACTAAATGACAATGTTAGCTTTACTTATTATATCCCATTGTCAGGCTCACATGGCCAAGCTAAAGTTAGATACTTTGCGTAGGTATAACCACCTCAGGTGTCCCGCCTCAACTCGGCGACACAAGTGAAGGAAAGTGAAACATACCGCGTCCGCAAAATCAAGCGTTTTTGCCTGTTTGCAAGGCCAACATCACCAAACCCGTGTTGACACCTACGAATGGTGTCAGGGCGGCCATCGGGGACAGGGTCGCTAGTGTGAACCGCCGCGTGCCCTTTTTGTAAAAATGATTTTGGTACAGGTGCAGCTACAATAGGAGCCACAGCTGTTCCAACCACCACCCTATGGTTGTCTCGGAGACCTTAGTTGGCCCGATTCAGCTCATAATGTACTCCCATTTGTCTCTTACAGACTGCTTTCCTCCCCTCCAACTCCCAAAGCCTCCAATCTCAGCGGATCACGAGTGAAAGCACATTGGCACGAAACAATAGATCCGGCACGGCGGCAGCATGACTGCATCTGAGTAATTGCAGCGAAAATCCTGCAGCACCGTGGGTGCGCGGTCACCGGAGGGAACGCTTGTAGAGTGGATGCCAGTGGGGTTGAAGTTGAAAGCCTGGACAAGCGTTGTCAGCATTCTAGTGATGGCAGCCACTCTGAAAACCATACTTAACCCGCCCCTGACCACGAGAGTTGACGATGCTGTGGGAGACTACTCCAGTAAGGCGTTGAGGAGAGCCCTCCTCTTGGTGATTGCTACGGCACAGAGGTGAGTATAAATACAGGATTGGAGAGAGACTTATTGGCCACGTCACCAAAGCCGGCAACGTAATTGGTCGTAACGCACCCGCACGAGTAGACCACCTACATATCCCACAATATCTATAGCTCTCCCGAATAGCGCTAGAAATACCATTCCGAGAAAATTCAGCCATATGTGGCATGGGCCTGCAAAGTTTACCTCTCTTCCTAGCTTTGTGAAAAAGATGTTTCGCATCTTGAGTAGTCGGTGGAAAAGATAATACCTCGGGTAGATTATGCCGGAGTACTTGGCCAGCAGGCGGGGATACCGAGGGGGTGTTTGGCTCACTGTTATTTGAGCTAGTCACTATCTCAAATCATGATTTCAGATATCCACGGTGTTTGGATTGACACTGTTTCCAAGTCATAATTTGATTATGATTTCAGAAAATTTTCAAGTATACCCCAAGAAGTCTAGAATTCTGGACAAGCATATCTGTATTTACAGTTATAAAAATTAATTGAATAGTAATTAAGAACTTTTCCTATCATTTATAACAGGAAATTGTATCCTATGCCCATATATATCTTGATTAGGTCTACTCCAAGGCATGACCCCAAATTTCAAATTTTTTAAAAGTGTTTGTCAGAGTGCAGCTTTCAAATCATAACTATCTGTAACCATAGTGTTCCAAACACCCCCTAAAAGTATGGGGGGGCTCCAACCAGAAGGAAAAACCTGACTTCAGGAGTCTCTATGTGGTCTCAAGTCACCCTTGAGACACCCCGGAGAATTCTCCATTCCCCGGTCGAGCGATATGGAATGATGATTGGGGAATCGACAAGTCAATGAGGGCGCCAGCTCTAGCCTTAGGGAGGGAGAGGAGACTGATTGGCCAGGAAAATGATACAAGATTTCGGAAGGCAATTTGAATTGAATTGGAGGGGTTAACAGAAATTCAACAATGAACCTGAAATTAGTGCCCTTCTGTCCATAATTAGTAAGTCTTCAGCGGGGTGGAGATCCGGGGAGGCGGGAAAGGAAGGTTGTTAAACTATGTAATCTATGTTTTGGGGTAAAATGTACTCGGAACCAGGTATACAGCGGCCCAAGATCTTGCGGGAATCAAAACTAGTTCCCTCGATTCCGCAGTATGTATGTACACTGAACATCGACGCCCTCGCAGGGAAATAATCTTTAGGATGCCACATTCATCGACCTCTTGACAGCCAGAATACCAAAAACTTTCTTCTTCCCCCCGCCTCTAATATAATACCCCCGGATCATGCCCCGTACCGTACCAGACCCTGCCAAATTCGGGAGCGGGGTCCCGGGCAAGAGCCTTGTAAATTATGATAGTTCCGGTTTTTCGCCGGGGTTTGGGATCCCGGCTTCTCTATAAAAAAAAACATTGGTAGTTGGCGGGTTTTTGGGTATGATACCATCTCCCAATACCAAACCCGCAAAAGAAAAAACCTTTCATTTAATCCTCCATGGCCAAAACCGGCCGCGTTTTAGAACCCCCCCAGCTACGTCAGTGCTCTACTTCAGCTCCCAGTTTATTCCAACGTGCTCGAGTAGTAGCATGCGGATTCCTGCCAGAAATTCCGGTACGTGAAGGATGAACTCGTACCGTAAGTAAGCTAAGGAGTGACACTTTCGATCAAGGACAGGAGGCTGATTGAGCCGTTTAGCTAGCCAAGAATCGGACAAACACGCCACTCAATCCGCCGGGTCAATAGACGCGTGATCCTGGATAGGCGATAGTCTATGGGCACGGGTGCCTCAAGCCTCAGCTCGAGAACTAAGGTTAAAATCAAAGGAAACCCCCCCACCTATTCGTAGCTAATCCCACACCTTTCAAAAAATCCTTATTCAGCCACAGGCGGAGCAACGGTTGCGGCATGGCACCCCACAGCGGTCGAGTCAAGTGAAGTGAAGTCAGCCAACGAACAGCCTCAGTTATTTATGAGCACCGGTACAGTGATAACCTCAAGCGATTCACTCGTATGATACAGTGACCAGTGGCGATGAGCGGGGCGAGCTGAGCCAGATCGGGCTTGGCACGGCTTTTTAAGGTTCCCGCGATCCTCTGACATGCACAAGCGAAAGACAAGGCTGGGGAAGCTTCCTGAGAGGGTGCAGTGGAGCTTGGCGAACATGCTTCCTTTCTTCTCTCCTCCCGAACCGTCGCCGCCTGGACAGGATGGCCAAGGAATGGTACCCAATTTACCGAGTGAATTACCGGTAGTCCTGTCCCAGAAGGCGTTTGAAGGGTGAAGAGGCTGAGAGCGCGATGGGTTGCACGGGTGCTCTGTTTACTGGTATGTTTCTCACCAGATTCCTAGCCACCAATATAGGCCTGGCGACTTTGCCCAGGCCGAGACTTTGGCTTCACCCTGCAGAAGATGGTGGAGAAATACGTGAAAATACACCAAAGAATCCCCGGTGCTTTCATTATTCCCACAACTCCTCCTCTCTGTGTCTTTCGCTCAATTATTGGGGGGGGATGTTGCGATCATCTTATGGGTCTTGGTACGGTACTTTTGACACTGCGCCCAACCCGGAACGTTTGTACTGTACTGTACTCGAGTACTCGTAGACTCATGTTTCAATAGTGGGTCCCTTTTTGTAGGCGGGTACCAGTTTCTTTTATGGCATGAGATGGTGTACCGGTTCACAACACGCACCCCTGCAATCCACGGCATTCTAAACCTTTTACTGTTTGAAGGGGGAAAGGGGAGGGAAAACGGTACCGGTACTCGAGCACCGGTACGTTATCACGCTGTAGAACAATCTGATAATACTCCTGACCGGGAGTTTCGATGTGGGTTCGAGTTTGTGGTTTAATCCATTGATCGGGCCTGAATGTCTACGAGTTCCTAATCTACTGGTTGACCATAATTCAGAGTAGAAAAATGTATTGAGCATCCTGATCTGTGCAAGTTATCAGTACGGTACTGCTGTTTTGAGGCATCGAGTTATCTCTCTTGTTGTGCACAGCCTATCCATCGGTGGAGACTCCCCCCTACCGTATCTATCTTGACTTTCTCCGCTGCAGTGAAAGCCCGCCTCCTCACACGGGGGAAACCCGGTGAACAGGGATAGCTAGATCTCCAACAACGCGGGGGGGGAGGGGAACACAGTCTGCCCCAACCCTCCAATAAACATCCCATGTCTAAGCCCCTTTGTCAGCCTGGGCTTATCCCTCTGCCGAACCCCAACTCAGCTATTCTCTCAGCCGCAGCCACACAAAAACATAAGTACCAGAAGAACCACTGGGTGCCGCCTTTTCCATCTATCTCTTTCCTCTGCTCTGTTACAACCTTCTCCGCGCGAAGCAGTTCACAGGAAATCAACAACAAAACAATCCATGACTGGAGTAAGTCTGATGGATAACCACCCTCTCCTCATGATGACCAAAAGCTAACGAGTGCCTAACAAAAATTCCAGTACCAAGGCTACGAAATGGAGTCCCCGCTCCTCCAAAACCCGGAGCCGCACGGCCATGCCCCCGGCGGCCAGGGACATAGAGGCCACCAAGCGCTCTCGTTAAACTCTTTCCTGAATGAAGTCACCGACATCCGCGGTCTCCTGTCGACGTTCAGGCAAGCCGTGCTGAACATCGGCTCCCTGCACAACCAGACTCTACAATCCTATGACAATGGCGCTACCTCTGGCTCAACACAGCAGCTGGAATCGCTGGTCGCGGAGACATCGGTGCAGACGAAACAGCTGAGGGATAGCATCAAGTCCCTTGAGCGGGACGCTCTCATAGCGGATGACTATGCCACGCAGAATACAAAGAGGCAACATATTGATAAGTTGAAGGGTGACTTTGATAAGGAGTTGAGGGCGTATCAGCAGGTAGGCTATATATATATATTTTCCATCCGATGAAACTTGATTGGATTAATCAATCATGGTAATCAATGCTAATGACGGACGGATGGATCGTGGGAGGGATAGACGGAGAATTCATTCAAGACTAGATACCGGGACCAAATGGCCCGGCAGTACCGCATCGTAAACCCCGAGGCAACGGAAGCAGACGTAGAACGCATGGTAGAAAGCGGAGAAACTCAAGTCTTTTCACAAGCAGTAAATCTACCCCTCCCCCGCCCACATCACTTGCTAAAAAAGCCACTTTAGCTCCTCTCCAGCGGCCGCAGCCGCGAAGCCCATTCCGTCAACGCGGCGGTCCGTGCCCGCCAAGCCGAAATCCAACGCATCGAGACAACACTAATAGAGCTCCTTGGCCTCTTCGAGCAAATGGCGGAACAAGTCGTCCTGGACGAACCAAAGATAATGCACATCGAGGAGAACTCCACTAAAGTCGAACGGGACATGGAGCACGCGACGGTCCATATAGGCAAAGCCGTTGTGAGTGCCCGCGGCGCGAGGAAGAAGAAGTGGATCTGTCTGGGTATTGGCGTTGGCATTGTCGTGGTTATCGCGATTATCATTACCGTTGTAGTGGTTATCCGAAATTCTGGGAACAATAAGGATAACAATCAAGATCCGAAGCCTTCGGGGTCTTAGGGAGCGCAGAGGTGCGATGAGGGGGTTTCTTTTGTTTGGGTGGGTGGATGTATAATGATTTCTCTCCACGTCTCTTTTTTTTCTTTTTTCCCTACACCCGATGGGAACTTTTCGGTATCAATTCTCGCTTAGCGGTTTGGATTTGCTGGGGGATGTGAGTTTTCCCCACTAGAATAAAGCACAATTAGGACTAGGAAAACCTCAACCACCCCGAACATATCCATCTATATGTACCTATCTGGTGGCAGGTGACGGCTACTCTGGCGAGAATGACAAGCATTCTTTAGTAGCTTGTTCTCTGTCAAACAGGAATCCAAAAATTTTACGAATATATCAATGACATGCATTCAACGCATCACTGATAACGTTACCCACCACTGCCTCTACTCGGCCAGTCTCCAAAGTAATCAAAGCATTTATTTACCCTGCTGAAGGAGCGAGTCACAGGCTATTTCCACAAAATTAGGTATACGGATGTGGTCACTCGCAGCAGCATTAGAGTTGCTATAGCAAGCCACAGGGGATGACTACCCCGGGTGGGGAATGGACTTCGCCGCCTTGCTGCCGTCGAGCCGCCAGCGAATTGCACGGCAGATTCCTCCGGCATGCAGTGGGCTGCATAGTAGCATTACCCTCCCTTTTGCCGGTACAGCCGTTACCGATCACCCGAAGCTGATGGATAGTGTATACACGTACGCTTAATCTCCGTAGGACTACCGTAGATCCGTGACCAGTGGCGGTAGGTCGATCTTCGCCTAGTTTGGTCCGATTTAGTCAAATTGAGAGCCCAGAATTGAGTTTCAATAACTTGTCACCCTGGTTGACGAATCCTGGTTTGGTTCTTTATCTTGTCTCACACTGAAGGCGCTCAAGTTCATTCTGTCTTGCGCGGGGTACCCTTCTCTTCGGACTCCCTTCCCCGCAGGCTTTTGGGAGCAGTTTAACGAGGCCCAGGACCCGCATCACTGACGGAGTTCTTATGTACTTAAGGGACCCGTTCACCGCCCCATCCAGAAAGCCAAGAAAGTCTCTTCAGCCACAAGCCCCCCACATATGCACCCCTTCCATATACTCGAGTATACCCCGATTTATAGCAGAAATTTGGCGGCAGCATTACTTCAGTGCCACGAAAAGTACGATACAAATATGTACGGCCACCGGCCGTGCTACTTGGGGCATCAAAGTAACAGAAAATGAAAAGAGCAATGTCAATCCATATAGACGGCGCCAGCCAGTATCAGTATGATAGGAGACTCCCGGGTGCATGCGTTCCGCATCTTTCCAGAATATCTTAGCCACAGTCTCCGGCTCCCCGCGCACGGGGCAGACGCTCTTGAAAACCAGAATCAACCCTTATATCGACTCAATTCACTACAGCTTAGAGCGACAGCCATAACAGACAATAAATACAAATCTCCTAGTCCAGCACAGCCTTCCGGATTGCAAGAATCCAGCCTCCCATTCCCATTCCTGCCTTGAATGCCAATTAACGTTCTTCAAAATTCCACCCTTCACAACAACAGCATTCCCATACCAATTCCAACCATCACATATACAAGAATGATACCAACATACTCGTTCCATACAACAGCTCTTGCTGATAATTGGCGAGTGATATATTATGTCTAGGAGGTTTATTTCAGGGTTTCAAATAATTTATTCGTAATATCAACTACGGTACTAGACTCCACCTATCGGGTATATGCGCCTAAACAGTATTGTGTCCAAGTGACAAGCCAACATCACCCCCACCAATCATCACACATAAAATAAATAAACACTGCCAGGCCAAAACATCCCTTACAACTACTCTGTCCAAAAATAAATCTAAAAATTACTACCTAGTGGGATCACAGGTGCTCATGCTGGACTAGTAACATCAAGGATTAATGCATCTTTCTGATCTCATATCCTATCCTCTAACATGTCTACTCCTAAAACAAATTCTATCCATATTGTAAATTCTACCAACAATTTAGGTCACTATAACATCATGTGTCCTATAAGTCAATGGCATTCTATTCCACTTGCTTCACAAATCCACTCAAAACAATCTAATAACCTATAGGTGGTAGGGGAAAAATTGGGTAAAGTGATAATCAGTCAAGTACATCTCAACTATGAAGTTACAACTACATGCCCTACATTAGGCATACTTATGCTCAATCAAGAACAGGTATTTGGTATTCTATCTGCCTTGTGTCGACAGCTGGTAATATTCTCTGGAAGAGTGGTTATAGACACTTTGGTACTACAAGTACAACATAGTACTTGATACTAGTACTGATGTAATAACCCTACAATAATGAGCTATAGAAACCTGTATCTATATTTATATATAAGACCAAGAGGTTGAATAAAAGAGACAGACAGGTGTGCATATTGCATGACCTGAAGATACTTGATGGTCCAAGTTCACTGGAGAGCAACAGGTATATAGATACCCAGGTACTAGACACTAGTACAATGTTAAAGAGATGGAAAGGTGTTGGAGGGCTGGGGGCATAGGAAATGTTTGAGCTAATCCAAGTGGCATATTTGCCAATGGTATACTATGGACTTGAGTTCATAAACAACTTCAAGTTCGGGTTGTATGTGAAGCAAATTCAAGTCCATATGGGGGGAGAAGCCTAAGGTTCTCTAGTTATAATAGACACATAACTTGACCGAAACACAGAACACGAGCTAAATACGGAGTGTGAAAACATCCCTTGAATGCAACACCCCAGGACCAATCCTTCGGTGCAAGTAATGGCTAAAAACAAGCGGACCCGAGGTCAGAGCATGATATCACGTACGATAAATAGATCAGGAATCGCTTGGAGTATAATAGCAATTACGAGCACCCACAATAAACGTAGCTGAATATCCCAACATTGAGGAAACACTAGATAGTCAAAGGGGGGAAAAAGAGAAAAAAAAACTCTCGACAGCCCAGACATAATAGCAAACAGAGACGATTCCCAAGCCAGGAACCTGGGGTTCTGTAACTACTCGGGCTACACCTAAATCACCAGTATAAAACACCATAAAACCCTCCCGGCAGAAAGAACCTTCCCCCCATTCAATATTTTCCCACAGGACGAGTATGTATGTATGACACAAGTATGTATGCCACCGAGTAGGGTGCCCGAGAAACAGCAAGAGAAATCAGAACCAGCCATATGGGTGCCGTTTTAAGAAAACAAGGAAAACTGCACACGACTCGATTTGTATTATTTCCCCAAAACTGCATCCATATACAGCCAATGCCAAAAATGTATCATAGTCAGCCGAGTACAGTACCTCCAAGTCAAGGGGATGGAGGTTATGATAATAATTATTATTGAAATTTAATCGAACAAACCTATGCTATGATATTATCATACCAGCACCCTTTTCCCCCGGCACCGCCCTCCCCTCCCCTCCCCTCCACTCTCCCCAGCCCCTGCGAGTATGATACGAGCACCGCAAATGGTACGCTACAACCCACCTCCCCCCAAAACCAACCCGGACCAAACCACAACCACCACTTATATCAACGTCATCACGATATGATATGATACCCTTTCCCAAGTTAATCGATAGATGACAAACCGGTCAACCAATCGTCACGAAAAAAAAAAAAGTACTGCACCGCAAAAAAAAACACGTTCTTTCTCTCTCCCATAATATGCCCGCCAGTCCCCCACCAGCCAGAAGCCGACCAGAAATACAAATACTTGCTGCCCAGGAGCTTCGTGTTGGGGGTGGCAAGTTGCTATGATATACCATTCATTCCCGTCGAGAAGATCGAACCGTGGTCGGCCCGTCGGCAAGGGATTAGGACATGGTGAACCCAAGATGGGCTATTCCTGTTTCTGGTTCATCATGCTGGCCTGAGTGCACAGTTATCATGCTCCCTTGCCTCCTTTGGCTACGGAGGGGTGGGTGTTCAGTTGTTTCCCGGTTGCCCGAGGGCGCATGCCAGAGCATCGCGGTCAGGGGTGGGCGGCTTGATAGCGCGGGAGTGGTAGCTACTCTTATACCGGTATTCTGGGATCTGGGGCTCGTATCGGCCCGGAGGATAATTTATAGCCTGTGGTAGCATGCTGTCATACATGTCTACCTTCTCTGCCCAATGGGAGCTGTCCAGGCTATAAGTAGGGCTTCGTACTAAATCACAGAAACTATCCTAGACAAGGATAGCATATGGTAGACTCTAGGGGCAACTGTAGAAGGTGGTACTGTACTAGCATAAGAGCTCTCTGAAGTATATTAGAAAAATGATACATTTGTGATACGTGGGCACTTGAAAAACGTCTCATGATTTTTGTACCCCGTAAATAAAGTCAAGTTACCTTCCCTGAAAAATCGCCGGTAGTGACACAGATAAATGCAGCATAGCCAACGTATCAGCAAATTGTACGGGCACGAAAGAAAGCAAAAACGATGACCTCAGTCTCGATAAACAAATCTGCCCTTACTGCCCCTCTGCGCCTCTTTTCTCATATCTTCCACCCTCTTCCTTCTCATTTCTTCGGCGGCTACCCGCCGCTGTTCCAACTCTTGTGTTGTTGGAAAATCCGCATCCCAGAAACCAGGAGGGCTTCTACGTCTCTCGAATGCATCCCGGTGCCTTCCATACCTGTTCGTAAACTCCTTGGCTTTGTCCTCCTTATTCACCGGTTCCTTCCTCGGGCTCCTTCTTGGCAGCTCAGAGTCTCCGACGGAGGCGGGCGAACTAGATCTCCACCTAGGGCCCTTGCTCGCAGCAGGTAGTCCGGCAGCTTCCGTGAAGCCTACAAGATCCCTACAGCAGGTCTTCATGCACCCTGGTAAGCATTTCCTTGCTTCACGATTCCTGACTGTTTCTGCGAATGCATAGTCTTTGCCATCATTCACTTGAGGGTTGACTCGGAAATCAGAAATATCCAACGTACTTATATCGCGCGCCTTTGATTTTGTATTTCCTCCTGCACGTCGTGCAGGGGTAGACGGGCCAGCACTACTCGGGGACCGAACTTGGGGTACCTCGAACCCGTCACCACCCCAAGTTCGTTTCTTAGCCGGAGACGTTCTCGACTGCATGTTCTTCTTAAGACGCGACAGGTTTGGCGTTCGGGACGGAGGCGAATTTAATATATCATCGAGCCGAGTTGTGCCTTTCATACCTCTTTCAAGTTGCTTCCATTGCATTTCCGACAGCACCATCGGTGGATGAATGGAAGCGGGGTTTATGTCCTCGCATCCATCCGTACCATCTTCAGCGAAACTAGCTATAGCCCTGGGCGTTGCTATGCGGCGCTTTCTCGCCTTTGGCAGCGAGTGCGCATTGAGCTTCTTCTCTTTGGTAATTGGTGAAAGGGTCTTTCGAGCAGCATTCGTTCGGCTGGATCGCCTAAGAGGTGGGGGAGTTTTGTTACTCCTGTTTTCAACAGAAAATGGTGGACTACTTCTAGGTTCGGCCTTGGCCACTCCCACCGGAGTCGTTGGCCGCGCTAGCTGAGAGCCTGACCATGTGTCCACAGGCTTTCCTTCACTAACCGTGGGGGGAGGGAGGGCAGATGCTGGTGAGTCGTCTTCAGCATCCTGCGTGTCCCGGGTATCCTCGGTGGGGGTGATTCTGAACCCGCCGCTAATCCAGCCGGGCCTACCGATATTCTCCGTCGTTTCTAGCTCAGGGTGGTGAGGCTTCTGGCGTTTTCGGGGTGTTTGAGGTTTTTGTCCGATATCATCCAAATCAAGACTCTCTTGATCAAAGATATGGTAGCCAAAACCCTCACTACTTGTGTGGGACTCACTTTTGATAATTACAGGCCGTGCCGCACTATCACCCTCCTGGCTGGTACGTCCACGACTGCAGGCGCCTGCCTCCTTCTTAATCACAGGGACTTTGAAAACAGAGTCCCGGGAAGGCAGTACAGGCTCTTTGGGCGCGTCACCATAATGACCGCTGGGTCTAGGGTCGTCATCACTCTCTGTCGAGTCGCCACCATCGCGCGTTTTAGAATTCTGGGTAACTCCAATAGTGCTTGATAGTGCCTGAGTCTCCGGGATGGATAAAGATGATGACGGAGGGCTACTGAGAGGCGAAGAAGGCAGCTCTCCTAGGTCGTCTTTGGGGTCACCTCCTGCCAAGTTGTTCTCACCGATAATCTCAAAAGACCCTTTCATCCCCTCCGCCACGCCAGCACCAGACTCTAGAAGTTCGGGAAATAGTCCTCCCTTTTTAGGTGAGGAATGGATGACAGAGGGTCGGAATCGCGGTTTGATGGGGGATATGTTTGGCGCCCTAGGAGTAGGCGAGCCTCCAGCTATTGATGTAGCTGGGGTTGTATAACCGTTAAACTTCCGTCCCACAGCCCGTGGCTCGGTAGTACCTCCCTCCAGCCTTCTCTTCTTTGAATTAACCAATCGAGCATTTTCTTGCTCAGACCACTGTTTCCAAACAGCCTTATTCTGCGTATATTTCTCAGCCAGACGACTATATGCCTCTTTGTATTGATCGAGCTCATAACGAATATCATTGTAGCTAGAAGCGAGCTCCTGATATGCCTCCTTTAGATCGTCCAACGAGTGAATGGAATCCGTCTGAACTTCACCGTCTTTGTAGGAGGATAGTGTGCGTGTGGCTTCGTCTACTAGAATGCCCGATTGTATCCGTGGCTTATTTAGAGGCTTTGGAGGTGTGGACACTGGCCGTGTGAGGGTTGGGCCCGGGGTGTCTAGTGCAAGATAATCAAAAACAGGTGGTATATTCTCCTTGTTTTCCAGGGATTTGTCCTCGGTGATAGCTAGCCTATTTTAACGGGTTAACTTCAATTTAAAGAGAATCTTCACTCAAGGAAACAAGCATACGCTCTGCGTTGACGCCCTCTATCGGCCTTTCCAATCCCTTCGGGTCTTGTCGCCAGAGCTTCGCTCTCAATTCCTGTTCTGGCTATCCCATAGCCCAGATACCGTAGCTGGCTCTCTTGTTCCCGAATCTTCCGCTGCTGCTGCTCGCTAGTGCTCTCGTGTGCATCAATCTAACGAACTCAAAGCGTCAGAGAATGGCCAAGGCGATGCCGGTGCGCGGGTTCGGGGTGCGCACCAAAGCTTGCCTCTCCCGTAAAAGCTCCTTCTGCTCCGCAATTACCCTCTCTAGATCTGCCTTTTCGCTCAGTCCTATAATGGAAAACAGAGAATTATCAGACCTAACCTCAATCACCAGTAATAACAATAGCTGAATCTCACCCTTTGTTAACGTGAGAGCCAGGTCCCTCTCGAGATCCGCAAATAGCTGCACTCCCAGGTTATTGAACGCGATGCGGTGTCCGCCGAGAATGTCCATGGCTGCCAACCGACCGGCCCAAGACAAGACCAGGTGTACCGGTAAAGGATTGGAGTTGATTCTACGAACTCAAGGATGCAGGCACAAGCGGGCCGCGAACTCGTTCAAGTACCTTCGGGATGACAACGCCACCCTCCAGACGATGACAACGGAAAAGGGAGCTTTGAGCCGCTGTGGCTGAATAAGCCTAAATCAGCAACTCTCGAGATTACTTATGCGGCTAAGTACGCCACCTTCACCACGCTCACGATAGACTTTTCCAATCGATAACCATGCAGCTGCGGATACAGTACAGTACATGTACCGCACTGTACTCGAGTACGCTCGGCTTTCCCAATTGACCCCATCGCTTTTAGTACGCACCGAAAGACCTCCAGCACAAAAAATCCTACCACCTTTTGCAACCATTCCAAGCAATTAACTCGGGAGCAAATCATTAAAGTCTTTTCTCTCTCCTTCGGTTCACGCAATGTTAAAAAGATCAGCTCCCGAGTCTCAAGAACAGCCATCGAAACGCCGCCGTCCGAACACTTCCCCTCATATTACTCGACTCAGTGACGAACTCCTTCTACGCATCGCATCCTTCTTGCATATCAATGACCTCGCTTCTTGCCAGAGCGTTTCAAAGCGGCTCCAACGAATTGCTCGTGATGACCAAATTTGGAAAGCACTATTTTACGCTCGATTTGTACGCCCTAGAGCATCGCGTATTCCGGGCCTTGCGCGTGCGGCCCCTTCAAGCTTGCATTATTCATCCCGGAATTCTCGATGGCTCCAAGATGAAGGGCTTGCAAGAGCTGCTGGAACAAAGTGGAAGGAGTTATATAGATTAAGGCATAATTGGAATAGAGGGTCCTGCAGTGTCAGTCAAATCATTATTGCGGAAAACCCGCCGCTTCCGCCACCGATACCGCCATTGATGATTAGGGTTTATGAAGTATGTCACCCCACACCTGAGTGCTGCGAGTGGAAGCGAGATTAACTCTTTACGGCCATGCCCCAGGGATTGGTCTTTACAGTCGACCCCACCAGCGGTCTGAGAATTTGGAGACTGGAGCATAAAGGTGTTCCGGTCATCGGCCTAGACCTCTACCAAGGCTCTCTGGAATTCGAAAGATACGGCGTACCCACCGCACTCGCCATCGATGAGGATAGCGATTCTAAACAAGTCGTGAATGTCACAGTCGGATTTGAAAATGGAGGGTTTGGACTGTATCAGCTGGACACAGCCACTGAATCATTACCAAAGCTGACCTTCGAACATTCCTACGCTGGGCCCCCTCCTTCTGCAGGAAACAGCAGTTCACAAAGGCTGATGATCACCTCCATGGCTTTTTGTTCACCATATCTGCTAACAATGTCATCCTCGCAGCTGCTCACTGTCTATCGGTTCAGTAGATCAGCCGACAGAGGCAGCAGTAGCACCGAGAGGGATTTTGGCAAGGATATATCTATATCAGACGGCCGCATGATGCATGCACCGAAAATCCTCTCATCTTTACGGTCACATACAGTCTGGCCCCCCTTATCACTCTCACTCCGACGATCAACGCAAAAGTCCATGATTGCCAGTATTGCGTACGCGTTCCCGCTTTACATCTCAGGTTGGTCCGTGGGGATCCAAGAGCTCCGGTTTACGGATGACGCGGATACTGTGGTGGAGTCAAGGATTGCAACGGCTGTGCCCACCGGTTTCACTTCCTTCGGTATAACCAATTTCGGAGGGTCGTCACCAGTGGGGTCTCCAGCCCCGCCTTCGGAAGGAGGGGGCGGTATCAGGTCCAGGTCTAAATCACAACAAGATATAGGCAATGATACACCGCTAGCTCAGCCTTCGTCTATCTCGTACACCCATCCGTAAGTCATTTCCGAAGCCCCGCCAAAGCTGAACATATCACACATCCTCTTTTTCTTTGATTTCTTATTCGTCTGAGGAAATGACACTAATTTCTGGAACCTTCCTCTGATGTCTTAGGTACCTCCTAGCTTCACATGCCGATAACACCCTCACTCTCTACATGGTAAAATCGAATGCTGCATCATTGTCAATAGAGCCCGGGCAGCGCTTGTGGGGCCATACGTCCTCAGTCTCCACCGCCCAGGTGAGTGGTCGTGGTAAGGCAGTTTCCCTCTCTAAGAGAGGCTCTGAGCTTCGCGTTTGGGAACTAGAAGGTGGAGTATCGGAACGTCGGAGGCTGAATGCTAGCGTCAAGGTGGAGCCACAAGTTTCTCCGCAGGCCGACGTAAGAAGCCAGTGGGGTGCAGAGGACACGGGATGTCTTGGTGGGTTCGATGAAGAAAAAGTGGTGGTGTTGCGAGAGCAAGATGAGGGGAGACGTGTGCTGGTTGTTTACGATTTTACCCTCTGAAAGATAATAATGAGATCGGACGAAATAGAGGAAACGCTGGGTATCATCAGAGGAGGCGTTTGGATCATTTCTTTCTGCCCCAACAGAATCGAGCAGATGCCACAGATCTCCACTCGGTGGAAGCGGGGAGGCTAGGTGTCCCTATTTTTGGGCCATAGTAATGCACCACCCTTGACAAAAAAGCCTTATCGTGCATGTACTTGTGCGTAGGGAGCACGTGGGCATAGTGCAGATGATAGATGTTTCACATATGTACTTGGTTGAGTCCAACTATCTTGGTGGGCTACCCCAGCCCAGGATTCAGATGGCTACCCTCTTGAGTGAGGTCTCGGACATCAAAAGACGGCCAGGGCGGGGAAGAGGAAGACGAAGCGAAGGAGAGTTTAGAAAAGAGGACATGATGGCTAGAAAAAATGTGATATATTGAAATTGACACCTTAACAGTGTAAAATGTGGTAATATTATATATGTGATATAAAGAACCAATATTGCCCGTGACCCTTCTTGTGAGCTCCGCATAAAACCCCCAATAATTATCAAGTCCTGCACGAGAACCAGGGAAAGCACCCAGGGCTTCACAGCGTCTTGTTTTAAAATGTGGGGAAGATCATGCTGCGGCGCCAGCTTCCGAGCTCAGGCAGCATCTAACAATGCCGGCATTGGACGAAAGGGCAAGTGCAATTGTTCGTTCCTCGGCAAAACACCGTTGTTACCAACGGGAGCGGGAGGGACATTACATATAGATATAGTACAGCGCCAGCACTGCAGGTATATTGATAGAGTAGAGAGAAGTCACACCCAAAGTTCATTGGAGGAAAATAATATATCTGGGGAAGCTGTCACAAGTACCGGTATTTGTGGGCCTCTGTCTCCGTTGCTTTTTGGGCACAAAACGACAGGGCATTCCCTGCTGGTCCCGGAGAGAGCATCCCGTGCAGGTATCGTGGGCTCCGCAAAGCACAAGCGGGCTTCGTGGGCTCGGAAAAAATTTTCAAATATGATAGGGTTCAGTCGTGCTTCAGTGTGCTTCGTGGAGATCTCATTTCGGGACTGTTCTCTCTTCTTTCGGCCGGATTTTTTATCAATTTCTGGGTTGTTGGCTAGCGGAAAAGCGGGGAACTAATCTCAATCGGGTTAGGCTGGTAACTCCCTCTTGCTCGGTAAGCCCTTTTTTTTTTCCTCCCCTCCAACCCTCACGGCAAGGTTTGCTCCCCAGAACTTCACCTCCCCCTCACTCACAACCACCTCCAAAACTTCAACGACTCCTTTCCTTCTTTTCTCCAACACCCTCTGAAGACCCTTCGGACGCTCAGTTTGACAATCGCTACCGAACATTCCAACCAAAAAACCTTTTCACTAATCTTCACCATCCACAGCCAAAATGGACGGGTACGGAGCCGGCAACGCTAGAGCCTGCTACAATTGTTAGTTATCTTACTTCCCCCATTCCCCCCACCATCCCCGCTGTACCATCTCTCGTCCAATTTCCTCTTTGCTTCATTTTTATCCTGCTCTTGGCGGCCCCGTACAGCCTCACCAATTCCCCACAGCTCACTTATTTTTGTCCCCCCTCCATGGTTTAATTCGAATTTCCCCGCCCCGCCCACCACTCGGAAGTAATGATCTTGGTCCTTTTGGATTCTTACTGACTTTTTTGTGAAAAAAATTAGGCGGCGAGGGAGGTCACCAGGTAGATTACTTGCTCCCCCGATGCTCCAACCACAGACCAAGATTACTGATGATGAATTCTCAAGGCCCGTGAATGTCCAAAACGCGGGACTCCTGTTTGGTAAACACTCAGCCCCCTCCTCTATATTCCTTTAATTTCTAGTACGCAAACTCCACTGCTGGTGGCGGTGTGCTACCCGAATGTGAGCTGACATGTATCAATTCTTAGCTACAACTGTGGGCGTATGTTCTCTCCACATCTAAATAGGTTAGGTTCCGAATTGGAAGGACCCATGCTAACAATTCATCTCACACAATTCAGAAGATGGCCACATGAGTATGTCCAATCCTCATTATTTCTGCCCAAACTCTTAGCCACATATTGACTGTGGCTAACGTTTCGTGTTACAGGTCGTGACTGTACAGGCCCGACCAAGGAAAAATCATGCTACCGTTGTGGTCAAGCCGGTTGGTTCCCATTTCACACCTTGTGGAAGCGCAATGGGCTCCCCTTCCGCCAGAATTCTTGCTAAAGCACAGCTGTACTTAGGTCATTTGTCCCGTGATTGCAACAGTGATGGAGGTGCGGGGGGTGGGGCGGGTGGCTACGGTGGCAGTGGTGGTGGTGGTGGTGGAGGAGCCGAATGCTACAAGTGTGGCAAGGTAGGACATATCGCCCGTCAGTGTACTTCAAATACCTACAACACTGGTTCGGGCTACTCTGCTGGTCAAAGTGGTGGCGGCGGAAGACAGCAAACTTGCTACTCTTGCGGTGGATACGGTACTGTCCCAAACCTTGGTTTTATTTTATTTTTGTTTCCAGATCCATGCTATCGCGCGTTGAATACTACTGACCTTTTCCCAGGCCACTTGAGCCGTGACTGTACTCAAGGACAAAAGTGCTACAACTGTGGCCAGATTGGCCATCTGTCCCGCGAGTGCCCCAGCGAACAGGACAGAGTTTGCTACAAGTACGCCCCCGCCCCCCCTCCCCCGATCCCTTGGTGTCCAATCATCCTCGTGTTGACCCAACCAATAGATGCAAGCAGCCAGGACACGTCATGGCAGCTTGCCCAGAGGCTCAGGCCGCGTAACTTATTGGTCAAAATTCTTACGAGCGCCTTATGTTTTCGCGGGACCAAATTGCATAGGTGTTACGGTTTGGGTTTGTTTTCAATGAACCAAATTTTGTCCATTTTTTCTTAAAAAAGTTGCTTTTCCTTTGTACGGTTTTTCCTTTCTTCCTTTCCCGACAGGTTACCCAGGGTTTATCGGCTCAAAAAAAAAAGGCAAGTGGGAAAAAGGTCATCGGGCATTTTCTTTTTCAATCTTTTTGTTAGGTCTCATGGTACACCGGTATATCTCGCGCGAGAAATGAAAAAAAAAAATGCTGGTGATCACAACACGATTTATTATGGGTTTTTACGCTTTGGGCTTTGGTTTCTCTTGTATTTTTTTTCTTCTTCTGTATCCATCTTTTCGTCCTGACATGGACCTTCTCCTGCTTCTCTACATTTCATTTACTGGCGCGTGTTCGAGGGGTCACATAGGATACGTATGTGTGTAGCTTTGTTCGCCGATTAGGTTCTTTTTTTGGCCGGCATGTATCTGGGGAAGCAGGAGAGCAATGGAAAGGGTGCATCGGCCAGCCAATTGTACAATACAATTCCGTGGGCATAAAATGACGATCGCATTTGGTGGGGGGACCAGCCAATCGTTCCGGCTCTGGCAATGCACAAGTGAAGTGAAGTGAAGTTCAGGATTCAGGATATCCAAACACGCCAGAGTCATGACTAGGTACCGTACCTGTGCGCGGGCGATAATGTGCCAAGCACTCAGACAGCAGCAGCCTTAAGGCGCCGCCCGCTCCGGCTTTTGAGGGTCACAGCCTGTCGACATGATTGTGGGAATCGTGGATGGGACAGGATGCATGAAGCAAGCAGGCAACTTTCAACCCCTCGATAAACTCTCCCCCATCACGGCCGAATGAAGCAAGACATGCCTAGGTCGGCATGATAGGTATCATACAGCATGATATTATGCACCCCGGTCAGCAGGAAACAAAGCACAGTACCGCAATTCCAAAGAGAGTCCAACCCTCCTCCTTCTCTCCTTCTCTCTCTCTCTTCTTTTTTTTTAAAGCCCCCTTCGGCCGCTCACGCCAGTGGGTTCCCCCGGGAAATCTGGAGGAGGAAGGAAAGGATTAGAGGTTCCCAGATCGCTAGGCAGGACCCAATAAACAAGGCAGCGGTCAAGCGCGGACCAAACGCAGGAGCGGGCCGTACCGGTACTCGTACTGGTACGTCGCGGCGCCGTACTGTGCTACACTCTACGATATTGTACGAGTAGTGTACAGTGCTGTAGTTCTATATACACCCCCCCCCCCCACCCTTCTCCCCACAGATTATGATGGTAAAGTGCTATGATACTTATCCGATACACCTAGTCTACGGCACTGCTACAGTGCACAGTGCAGTGTTCGCACTGTACTCGTACGAGTACGGTACGTGCCGAGTCATATCAGGGTCCTCCGATGGGTCCCGACTGGCCTCCTTCCTCCTTCCTCCTTCCTCCTTCCTCTGTCTTTTGTCTTCTCACCTGCCTGGCTGGCTGCCTGACTGCCTGACTGCCTGCCTTAGACTAACCCCCCACCACCCCTCCACACCTATCCTCCATCTATCTATTTTTCTTAAAACAAACATGGTCACGCTGTTACGCACCCGACTTACAGCCCCTCTTTTCTTTCCTTTTTTCCCTCTTCCTTACAATCCTTTTTTTATATTAAAAAAATAATAATAAAAGACTAACTTGTCATTTTTCTTTTTTTTTCCGATTGCGCGGCCTTGGTTTTAATGTGAAGGAGCCGGCAGCTGGGCAATTGGCTGTCGAGTGAATGGAATTGGATTCGTGTGGCATGATCGCTGTTCTGTGCTACGCTGGCGAGAGGAAAGTGTACCGTGTGGGAGTAGACTAAACTTCAGACGAACAGGCGAACAAACGAACAGACGGAGGAAGGAAGGAAGGAGCAAAGGATGGGGGTGGTTTACACCATGTGATGGTGATCTTCTTGAAGTACTCGAGCACGGTGCCGGTACTCGTACCGGTGCCATCACACCGGCAGCGTAGAGAGGGGGAGGAGTTAAGCCAGGAAGGGATGGTCTACCGTAGCCAACGCGCCAGCCAAACCAACGAGCTCTCGTGATTTTGGTACTGGCATGCTTCTCGAGTTCCATCACCTCCGCCCCACCACCTCTTCCACATTTCACCTTATCGCTTATCGATAAAGGGAGATGGGAGCAGTACAAGTAACGGAACCGGTCACAAGAGGAAAGCCCCCTTTCCCCTTTGCTCCTCTCTCCGCGAATTGTGGATGCGAAGGCGGGACTGCACGAGTAAATTGGCTGTTTTGGGACTTTTTTTTCATTTTTCACTCGCTTCCTGTCGAACTGACCTGGACCGACCACGCCCAAAAAGGTGAAATGTGCGATTTGGGTCGGCGCGATGATTGATGATGATGGGTGGGTAGAGACGGAGGTATGGCTATTGGTGGAGTTTTTTTCTAGGTTGCTTTTTTTCTTTTTTCTTTCTTTCTTTTTCCACCTTTTTTTTAGAGAAGTGGAATACGGTTCTGAATGTGAGTGATTGTCTCAGATTATGGGATGCATTTTTTTCCTTTCTCTTCCCGCTCTCCAGTTCGGGGTGTGCAGTTCAGCAGGAACCCGAGGTGAATGGCAATTGAGCTACCGGTATGATAAGTACGAGTAGATTATCATCCGACCCGCTGTAGTTACAGTAATTTACAGGTATCATAGACTACGTACCATAGTTGACCTTTTTCCGGGCTTGGTGTTGTTGTTGGTGAGGATGATGATGTTGGTGGTGGGCGAAGAGCAAGGGAAGGGAAGGGACCCTCTTGGCTAAGGCTTGTAAGCACCGAGTAAATCGAATCGGAATTGAGTATTCAAGTGCACAGCGCGAACAAATATCCGCTCCAAACGATTCGATGGTGATGGAAGAGGAAGGGAGAACAGTCGAACAGAGTTCCGGTTTGTTACTGTCGGTACCAGTAACGCAGATGCTCGCCTACCGTATTCTGCTGAAGAACCTTCTCCGCCCTCTTTCTCCCACTCCCACTCCCGATCTGCAAAATAAACTTTATTCCCTTTTCGTAAGAGAGGGAGGGGGGGGGGGGAGAGACACACCGTGCTCCTCGAGCACACGAGAAGCAGGCAAGTACTTGTACGAGTACATCGATGAGACCTTGCCATGCCTGTCATGTCCTGTCCGCTGGAATGTAAAATACCAGCACGTACGGGAACTCCACACTCGGTAGGTACCGTACCGTAGTCAAGAGGATCAGATCAGGTCGGCAAAAGGGTTACGTTACAGCTGGAAAAGAAGGCGGATCACAAAAGCTGCATCCCCGCGAGGCTTTTTTCCCCTGCCCAAAACTTCGTCATCGCGCAGCCCAAAAGCACAGCACCACCACCAAGACTTGACTACCGGTAAGGTACTGCTCTGCCCGCGGGAGGGAAGGAAAGAAAGAAAGAGGGAGAGAGGGAGAGAGAGGGAGAGAAGGAGAGAGGGAGAGAGGGAGAGAGGGAGAGAGGGAGAGAAGGGGGAAAAAGCAAAGAGGCTCGGCTTCACACGTACCCAGTGTATGCATCAGACCTGAGTTGTGCGGTATTGCCGCCGTAATGCAATCTGCTTTTCGCGGTCGTCGTCGTCTCCCATCTTCGGCTCCCCGTCGATACCGATGCTTCCTTTCGCTAATAATCCTACTTTCGGTGTGCGCATACCGGTGCCGGCTCCTGTGTCCCCGCCCTTTCCAATTGGGGCGCAGCGGATGGAGGATGGATTGGGAGGAGCGGATGGCTTGTTACAGGCGTGATATGGGGAAGGTCGAGGCTTGAACTGTTTCTTACAGATTCTTACTCGAGTACAGATGACTTTTTAACATACCGGCACCGGGTTCCCGGAGACTTGGAGGCGGAGGGTCCCCTATTCGCTAGCTTTGTGGGGCGATGTTTCGTTGGTATTCTTACCTGTACCTGGGTACAAGTACTCGAGTACCGTGCTCCATTGGGTTGTGGAGGCGGGAGGGAGGGAGGGAGGGAAGGTTGTCTCTGTTTACTTATTTCTCCGCCCAAGTGCAAGTACTCGAGTACCAGTACAAGCACTACCGGTAGTGAGTCCGACTTTAACTTTAATTGGGTCGTTGGTAGGACTGTGTGCCGAAGTCCTGAAGACTGGCCTAAACTTGAGCCCTGGGCAAGCAGGATACAGTGCAACCCAGCATGGCACAGAAACCGGTGGTATGGGTACGGCATGATAATGGTGTTGTGGACCTACGGGATCAGTCTACTCGAGTATCCACAGCCGCTACCCGCCGATTGATGAGCTAGAGAGTACTCGAGTATCACTGGGTCAGGTAGAGGTCAAGCTAATTATTGCGGACTACATCAGAGCACGGTAGCCATACAAATGGTGCCGTGCCTGCTCTAGCTGAAAAGCTTGACCACAGCATATATATACACCAATTCACCGGCAACACCTCCCAAGTCCACAACATCTCACACAATCAGTGATTCGGAGGACACAACCAAGATCGCCAATGCAATTATTGCCGGGATGGGGCGTTTGAGGATGAGGTGGTTTCAGTAGATTGTATGGATGACATTGAATTGTGGAGAAATCGCGAGAGAAAAAGGGGAAGGAGGGGGGGGGGAGGGGGGGTGATGTTAAAGGGAAAGGAGAGAAGCTGAAACAAACCAAAAACATGCACCCACAAGTGAACCAGGACCTTGGAAAATAACCCCGCTCGCTCGCTCAGCTCGAGCTTGAAGGGAAGGAGGGAGAGAGAGAGACAGAGAGAGAGGGAGAGGGAAGGAAAGAGCTCGTACCTACAGTACTGTGCTTGTACTCGTACCGTAACTCTCTCCGTTTGATCCCATCCCAAGCAAGTCGTGTGATGCACCGATCCGTCCATCCGCAGCATGCAAGGGATCCATTCAGCGATTGTTCGGAAAAGGGAAGAAGGCATTTCTGGGGTTCTAATTTCTGGATGAGAAATGCAGGGGGTGGGTTTTATTTTATTTTTCTTTCACTGCTCTGCTTTGCCTGGCCTTCTGATGGACGAACGAGCCAAATTTTGAAAGATTGTGGATGTCTTTGCACTACGGTATTTTGTGAGTGGAGAGGTCAAGTGTGGAAGAGGGGTGGAGGGGAGGATAAGCTCCTGTGTGAGGGGATGGGGAAGACGGCACATGCTAACACGAACTCCTCCTTTCTTCCTTTTTTTTCCTTTTTCTTCCCTTTTTCCCCCTTCTTTCCCTGGTCTTCCTGGTCCATCTGGCCTTTCTTTTTTTTCTTCTACGAGGACAGGTAAATATTTCCCCCAGCTGGACGATCCCTTTCCTGCCGGTATGCAGCATAAGGTAAAATTATGATGATACCGGTATCCAGTTCCCTCCTCGTTCCCCCACCCCTTCCGTCCAGGTCAACATGTGGCTTTGCGGGCAGGGTAGGAGAGAGGCTTATGGTTCACCTCGGCATTCATCCGGCTGCATGATTCCTCCCTCACGTCTGCCCTCTTCCCTCCTACCTTGCTCTGCTCTTCTTTCGCACATCATCATCATCATGTACTCGAGTAGTTATGCACAGCCACGAAAGTGAAGGAATTGGTAGGAAGATGGCATGCAACTCTGCGTTTCCCACTCCCCTCTCCGCTCGTACCGTAGCACACAGCACCAAATAGCGTTTTATTTTATTTTATTTTCCTTCTCCCTCTCCGTTCAATCAGATCAATCACTCACATACATGCGCAATCCATTCCGCCGCTCTACCGTACAGCACACGATGCGAATGAGTAATCTCCCGATCGATCTGAAGATTTGAGTTGAGCCGCGTCATACTTGTATCGGCGGTCCTCGTCGTTCATGCTTTCTCTCCTCTATTCTGTGTTGCAACGACGAGGACAACGACAGCGACATCCGTCAAGCACTCGACGCTACGCAATTGATACCGTACTTACTCCCGTACTCTACAAGTACGGTACTCGAGAATTGTGAAGTACTCGTACTCGAGTGCACTCTCCTGCGCCCGCTCCTGTACTCGAGTACCGTACCGCACTTTACCGTGCACACTGCCCAGGGGGGCTCACCTACCTACCGGTACCTGCCACCTTGCACAAGAGGAAAGAGTGGTGGTGCGCAGCAACTCTTGGGTTCCCATCTCTCGCTCTCTCCGGCTCCGGACAGTCCCGGTATGTCTTTCCAGGGCTCAGATTATACGCAATTGATTGATTAGGAACTGTGTCCTTCTCTACCATACTGTACCGTATTTTTATATTTTATTTTTCTCTCTCGCTTTCTCGCCTTTTCCCGTTCTCCTTTTTTGCTACCGGTATCACGGTATCTATTCTTCCGAATCCGGTCCTCATTTGCACGCACCCACACCACATTGTCTCCACCCCATTCCACCATCTTTTCTCTCCCTTCTCCGGCCCGGAGAGTTTTAAAGTCCGCCGTGAGCTGGACTACCGTAAACTGCATTACCAAAGGAAGAGCATGGCAGCAGTTGGGTGCCGGTACCGGTAGGGTACTGTAGAGTAGGGTAGAGGGGAGAGTATCGGCGGAAGGGGTATAGAAAGGAAAAGAAAAAAAGTAATGCATGCCCGGAAGGATGACGATGACGGTATGTTTGGACGAAGGGTCATGCGTGACATTTTTGGTAAGGAATGGGCGCAAAGTCCGGACGAAAAGTCTTGATTTTGTGAGGTGTCGTTTTTTACTTTTTTTTCTCGGGTGTCTTCATGACATCCCCATCTTAGCTTCACGAGCTTCATAGGAATGATCCTTCTGCGACAACTTGATTGTCGTATTTTTTTATTACCCGAGTACTACCCATTCTCCCTCGTGGTGTATTATGGCAAACAGGGCAGCGGCATAACTTAGTCCCTCTGATCATTACTTTCCATTCCAACCTCGCTCTCCCCCAGAGAAGCACCCTAAAGCTTTTGACCGCTCGCCGCTGTCACCGCGTTTCAAATCATAGCCTCGTTTCCTGGCCACCGTGTTCTAATTATTCCATTTTATTTTTCCCTTTCACCCCGTACTGTCGAGAGGCTTGTGCCGATTTCTATTTTATTTTTATTTGTGTTCCGGTGCCATTATGATACAATCATCCGAGTCCCCTGCCTGTCGTCTATCAGCGCCTTGGTCGTTCAGATACGCCGAACACCACGAAAACAGCAATTGAGTGAGAATTTCAAGGCTGTTTGTGTCGGAAGCCTTATCTGTTACCCCGCTCTCCCCTTTCCCTCTGTCTCTGTCTCTGTCTCTGTCTCTGTCTCTCCTCCCAATCTCCTCGATCTCAGGCCCTCAATTCTCAGCGCGTGTTCTGTCTGCCACATAGCCCCTCTTCCCATAGCCGAGTTGCTGAGGCGAGGTGGGAGGGAGGGAGAAAAAAAAAATTATCCCCCACCGAACAGCAATTGCTGGCTCGCTTCTGACGTTTCAATTGAGGTTTATTTGCAATTGAGTTTTTGCGCATGCGGCAGCCTTGCCACTATGACTTGTCCGCTACTGTTGATCCATTCTGCCTTGATTCTCCCGCAAGTTCCATAAGGTATGGCCGCAGCAGACTTTACCCTTCCTCATAGGAGATGATTTTTGCTAAGAGGGGGGGGATGAGGGGAAGGGGAAGGGGGGTAAGTACGTGTTTGTAGAATCATCAATGTTGAAGATGAAGATGTGAGTGTGAAGATGAATGGGAGGGAAAGATGGCAAGGGATGGGGGGGGGGGGATGGTAAGTTGAAGGGGAAGTGGATCTTGGGACCCAGCCAGTCCCTTGCCGATTGCTCATACAGCAAGCAGTTACCGGCCCTGCAGAGGAACCATGTAAATCCGTCGAACAGGATTCCTGAAAATGGATGTTCCTTTCAGCAGAGTTGGATACGTTAGTCACCTGTCACCGACCAGTCGGGCTTCTCCAAGTGACTCTTACTCGAGTAGTCTTATTACTCTGTTCGCGTGCCCGAGGGTCCCGACTAAGCCCCGTGCTAGTCCTATTATGGATAGGGTAGCCTCAATTGACTGTCATCCTGATGCGAAGCTCGCTAGTCATCCGCCGTGAACTCTGATCCCTCCATCAACTGTTTTTTTTTTTCTTTTCCGGTGTGCGCTGCAACGGAGGAGGGTTGGGCATTTCTTGTCTTATTGCTACCGTATCATCACTCGCTCTCACCATTGGGATGGGAACAGTGAGAGGGAGGAATGGGAGATGAAGTGAATGGAAGAGTGAATGGAGGGGGTGGAAAGGGAGAAGCTTCATCCGCTTGCTACGGAGCCAGTGCTGGTACGGTACTCGAGTACAGTACAAAAAACCGTATGCTACCGTACCGGTACCCCATTACCACCCCTCACCCCCCCTGTTCTCTTCCTGGCACTCGCTCCCTCTCATTCACCCCCCCCCCTCCCTCCCCCCAATCCCTTCATACCCCCCTGTTCCTGTTCGACTCGAAGCTATCGAGTCTCTCTCCCTTCCATCATCCACGGCTGCCATCTCACGCGCTCCTGTCGCTCACTGGGCCACCCTTCAAACCTGATACCGGTTCCTCCCTGCTCGCAGATCACACACCCACATTCACAACTCACAGGACAATGTATCACTGTAGTTTCCATCGCCTTCTCACGCGTGGGTACGCGGCTGCCTAAAGCTACCCATTCTCATACATACCTTGGGGTGCATCGTAGGGTACGTATGCATGGTTGCTGCCTGTCTTCTCCTTTTCTCTCATGCCTTTGCCCAGACAGAAATATTTTACTCAGATTATTTCGATCGCTTTCGGCGTTCTTCCTTCATCCTACTCTAGCCTCGTAATGTGGCGAACCAATTTGGATCGCTTGATCACCACCGGTCACGGTGGGGCGGGAAAAGGAAGAAAGGAACTGAGAGGGCTGTGGTCTTCTTCATCAGAGATCCGGATCACAAATTCGCGTACTCCATTCGGAGGAATATGGTGATTGTGACTTACTAATGCCTGATGGCTGCTACCTTTGTGTCCCCTCCACTAGGATGGCCGGCGTGAGCGCTTGGAGAGGGAAGCAATGGAAGGTGTGGTATTCTATTTCAGGTCACTCTCCCCCACCCCCCTTCCCTTTGTTCGGCGGCGACGTCCTTGTGTCCTGCCTCGCTCCACACGCAAGCTTAAACACGCATCCTTCCACACTGCCTTGGTTGGAGACCTGAAATCGTTCATAACGCCGGCCACCCCCCGCCGCCCCATTCCTCTCCCTCCTTCCTTCTCCTTGCCTCGTTCACATCATTCACCAAATACACAATCGCCAACTCTACCGATACCTCACGAACCAGCAATCCCCTTCAGAGCTTTGTCGCTATAGCTTGCCCATCGCTGGAACTCGCTGCTGGTTGGAACCTGCTTAGGCCATCAATTGACTTCGCCATCCTGAAGCTTACTTCGCCCTCCCACCTATATAAGCAACTCAATCTTTCCCCTTGCACGCCCTAACGCCGAATAAACCTACAACCACGAGCTACCGGGTAGACCTGTTAGCTTTCCCTGATCCCCCTCCCTGTATCCTGTGACGTTATAAGCTATGGAGGCAACTCCCACGAGCTCTTCGAAGAACCCATCAGCAATCAATAGCTTTTTAGCTTCGCCCGCAGAGATCCCAAGCTCTCACTTCAGACTCCCTTCACCAACACCGCCAGATCAACCACACATGCTGGCTCCCGGCATTCGATTGCAAGGCGTTCACAAGATGTCGATCGCCGCTGCCACTAACCCAACACTGCTGCTGTCACCTCCCCCTTCGCCGGCCAATCGACGCCTGTCCTCTCCACCGACCTCGAGCCCTCCTTCAATTGTGGACAGGCCACTCTTCCCGGCTCAGACTGACTCTTCCATCTCGCTAGAGATACCGCTCTTCCAGGTTTCCGAAAGGTTCGAACCCATGATTCAAGATGCTATTGCGAGTGTGGATCATACTTTCCGCCGTGGTGTCCAGAGGAAGACAAAGATCGAGCCTACGCCGGAGGAATACAACCTTTTCGTCTCGTCAGCATGGCGACTTTGCCAGAGTGGACCCAAGGAGTGGCTCAGACAGGAGAACGAGTACTTGAGATGCATTGACGTGGCGAGGAAAGCTGCCGCGAACAGGATTCAGAAAACAAGTGCTCTAGGTCCAAGGCAACGCCTCGCACCTCGCCCACATCAATCTTCTTTAACCAGGCCACGTACTCAAGCTCGCCGGCCCAGGACTCCAAAGCCTTCGTCGAATGCAATTGATGGTTTCGCTTCGTCCGATGGTCGCTTCCCTACTCCTACCAGTCAGACTTCCGGATCTGCTTCTATCCGCGCTAGAGCCGTGGCACCAAGGGAGGATACTGATTTTGAATCAATCCCGGACATGTCTCCCCAAATCGAGACCTTGGATCACTTGAAGCCCCTAAAGGCGGACTGGAAAGGCACAGCACTCGATCTATCCAACGACCCTCACCTAGACTTACTTCATCCATCAGAGGTGGTCCTCGCGTCAACTCTCCGTCTCTCGTGCGCCTCTTACCTTACATCCAAGCGGAGGATCTTCCAGGATAGGGTTGATAAAGCTATGCAGCACAAGGAATTTCGTAAGACGGACGCGCAGAAGGCCTGTCGCATCGATGTCAACAAGGCTTCGAAGCTCTGGGCTGCATTTGAGAAAGTTGGCTGGCTCGACCTGAAGCACATCATGAAGTACATCCGTTAGAGGGTGCCGGTCACCAAGGGTAGATATTGGGGAAGCGAGGGCCCCCGGTATCATGATGGCTGAGATGGGCTATGGACATTTTTACACGGGTTTTTATGATTTTACGAATATGGTGTTTCCATCTGTACATGTTGGTGCCTGGATGGTTTTTATGATTTCGCTTCTCACTTTTTTCTTTATCTTTTCTCCCCCCGTTTCTCCATCTCTTCCTACATATTACATGCACCCTTTCCGTGTTTGATTTTTTTCTTTGGTGTTCTTTTCGGGTACATTTTCGGGCTTCTTGGGGGTTTTTTTTGGTGGGCGGCCGGTTTGGTTTATTCTGCTTTTCTCTTTGTTAAACGGTTTCGGGCATCTGACTGGATAAGCAACCGGAGTATCAAGACGATTTGTTTTCTCACTTTTTTCATTTTATATATCCGCTTCTTTATCGTAACCCTCTGTACCCTTTCCCTTTGTTGTACTGCACTGCAATATCGGCGGCGTTCGAGTTTATGTCATTAGCCCAGAGCAATTCTGCGGGGGGAGGGGGGGGTTTGCTGTCTATGTCTCTCTAGACTCCATGTACCGGGTTGGTCTAGCTCATTCAGGCGCCTTTGTCTGATGTATTTTCGAGGGGGGTTTTCTCTATGGAGTTTTGTCTCATCCTCTTTTTTGGTCCACTTTCTTGCTCTCTGGCATTTTCAGAATACATGACCTGCAACTCTTTGAAGTAAATGCGCCTTGCAATATGTTGAGCTCCAATCGCGCTGTGCATCTCTAGTTGACTTTGTACCTACTGGTTGCCACTTACCGCGATCTGAGAACGCCATAGCGACGCGCTTAATAATGATAATAATGATAATAATAATAATGACGATGATGATGATGATGATGATGATAATGGTAATGGTAATAATAATACCGGTAATGACTGTACTCGAGTACACGGATCGTAGAGTGCATGTATAGGAGAGAAACGTTCAACCTCAGGAGCACTTCACCTAGCCCTCTACTTCGTCTTCATCGCTACATCTTGCACCTTTTTCTTCTTCTCCTTTCTTCTCCCCATTCATCCACCCCCCACCTTCACGATCGCGGCAAGTCGAGCACCGATTGCCGGAGAAGAAAAAAGAATACTATAGCCTCGGCCCCTTCCCCCCCTCTCCCTCTCACCTCTCGCTAAATCTTTGCATGGTACCTATCTGTTTAGCTCACTTTAAGCTTTGATAAAGGCCACCGGCCCGTACCATGGGTAGATGGATAGATGTGATAATACAATACAAGCACAGTACCGCCGTCGGTAACGTTTACGATACGATACGGTACGCTTACGACACGACCGTGTCCGTGCCTGCAAGTGCAGTCGTACCAAGTTTACTTGGAACCGCAAGGAGAACTGTACTCGCGTACAGAAGGGTATGGGGAAGGAAGGAAGAAGGGGAAAATCAAAAATCAAAATTGGCGCATGATTGGTTGGATGGTTGGATGGTTGATCCGGGATCGAATTGGAGAGAGTGGTACCCGGCGATAAGTTGGATGTGGTAGGGCGGGCGGAGGTTAGTCTAGTTGGTATTACCTATCTCCCGCCCACCCTCTCCGTTCCACTCTCGTCCAGGACACTCTAGGGCGCTGGAGAAGAAGGGAGTCTCACCCTGTTTTTTTTTGTTTTTGTTTTTGTTCTGTTCTGTTCTGTTCTGTTCTGTTCTGTTCTGTTTGGTTGGGGGGTGTTGGTGGGTTTGTTTGTTTTTTTCCTTCTTTCTCCTCTTTCTGGTGGGTTCTATCCACCGGAAGGGTCGTTTGGAGGGGAATTGATGCTGAGCCATGTGGGAGGGGGGGGGGGCAATTGGGAATTTGGAATTGGGATTGGTAAGTGTGCTCACTGCGGTAGTGTGGATTAGTTGCCGCGGTTAAGCTGAGTTAGTTGGTTGGGCGAGCGGGCGGGGCGGGTTTATTAGGCCTAGGTCCGGGTGCTGGTAGGGTTGATGGGCAATACAGCAGTCGAGTAGTCTACGGTGGTCAGTGGTAAGGGAGCCGGGTTGGGTCGAGTTGCGAGCAGATTTGACTGACTTTGCTTACTGCACGATCCAATGTCCGCTCGTACGTATAATGGTGTACTCTTTAATCGTATCATTGCTAAGGTGCAGTACTTTTGTATTGACCGCCATAATCTCCAGGGCCATTATAGGGTTCTATTCCTGCTCTCACTGACCAACTAACTGACCCCGTCCACACTCCTGTGCCGTACGGGATATGATACCGGTATTATGGGTGTGCGAGTGTGGAACAGGAACACTCAGAATTCCTCACCCGTACTCGAGCACAGCACTCGCCGAGGGTGAGGCGCAGTTTCAGCTGATGCACGAAACTTCTGAACCGGACCAAGATTCGGATCTCTACAGGACTGTGCTGTATACTGTAACAGGTGCTTATTTTATTTTATTATTCGTGAGGAGGCGGATAGGTAGATGGACTAGGTTTTTTGTCCTGTCCCGTTCCATTGTCTTGACCCGATCTGAGGTGCTCGAGTACCCTTCTCCTTCCTCCTTTCCCCCTCCATCATCATCCACCCCACCTCCCTCCCTCCCTCCCCCACGCGTCAATTTGGCGCTCAAACAATTACAATGCTAACACCCTCAGCTCTCTGAAACCTGATTCCAATTGTCGTCCTACGCTTTGCTCGATTGCAATTGCGATTCGCAATTTAGCAATTGGGCAAGCAAGCGCTGTTTATCTGTCTGTCGGGATGTTGCTGTCATCGTTGTTTTTTTTGTTTTTTTCCCTTTCTTTCTCGACTCGCCCGATTCGATCGTTTTATTGGATGGATGGGGTGTAATCGTACAGTATGTCATGATCAGGCTTGGTTCGATTTTTTTATTCCCGGGTGTGCGAGAGTACGTACGGCAGGCGTGTGTGTGCAAATATTTCAAGGTACGGGTCTGTTATAATAGGTTATAGTCATCGATGGGAAGTGTGTTACATGTTTTTTTTTCTTTCTTTTTTCTTTTTTTCTAAGCAAAACGCAGCAGTCAATGCCGACACATAAGGAAACAAATGAACCAACGAGGTAAATGCGCAGGTATGATTCCAACCCCCCCCCCCCCCTTCGTTAGTTGCCTTGCTGCAGGTCATGTTCTGACTGCATGTTCGAAATATTGTGAGTGGGCAGTGGTGGTGCTGGGCTGGTCACGTCAAGTTTCTCTCGCTTTTCAGTATACCTACAACAAGTACTGTACGGTGCTCATTCTGAGCGTGTTCGGATGGATGGGTGGATGGATGGATGTGTGAATGTGCGTGAGGGTGCGCCCGTGGAGCGAGTGAATTGGGGATGAATGAGGGCGACGTGCGAGGTACAGAATGTTTTACGTCGCTTCCTCCCCTCCTCTCCCCTCCTCCCTTCTTGACGGATGGAAGGGACGAAGGAAGGCTTTTACATGGAGACTCCCGTCCGGGGTGAGGCTACGGGTATCACTATCGTGCGCTTTCTCCCCCACAGCATGTAGGGCACGGTATGGGTGCTCGTATGTGGTGGGCGGGCTTCACGAGACAGCATCATTCCATATTTGGATCAGGGCGAGCAAGCATGGTAGGGGAAGGTAAAGGGAAAAAAAGAAAAGAAGAGGAACAGGAAAGGAGGGAAGAAGATAGGTGAGCGTGTGTGGGAGAACAAGTATTGGAGGGATTGGGGGAGGAGGGCGGGGAGGAGGAGGATTGGTGGGAGAAGGGGAGGGAAAAAAGGAAAGAAAGAAGGCTTCTAGAGCGCTTCTATTCTATTTTCAGGGCTGCACTGGGGATGACGGGGAGATCGACAGGAGGGTAAGATCGGGCTTTCGGGATTTTTTAAGAGGGCGAGAGGGTTGGATGTGAGATGTGTGGGTGTGGGTGTGGATGGATGTGGAATGCGTGATAATATTATGTACGAAAGAGTTATTATTTTTATTCCTTTTCTCACGCTTCGGCTTTTGGATTGGGTGTATCTTGGGAGGGGTGAAGGAGGAGGAGAGGAGAGGGAAGAGGAGGAGGAGGAGGGAAAAGAGGAAGAATTCCTGAAACGACGCAGGGTCCGGCCAAGACTGGGTTACAGAAGATGGAGCGGATGGGAGCTCTCTCCCTCCCCCTTCAGCCCCTTTGACGTTGGCGAAACGGAACGAAACATTTCTCTTTCTGCCCGGCTATCTGGCTGTCAGGCTGTCAATCTGTTCGTCTGTCCATCTGCCCAACTGGGCGACTCTGCGTAGTTGGCCAGCGGGCTGGTGCGGATACGGATACGATACAGGACAGTATCGTGGTTTGGTTCCGCCAAGGTGCCCTGCCTTGGTGTCCACCCTTCTGTATTGTTTGGCTCATCTGCTTGATTGCTTGTCTCTCTCTCTCTTCGCCAACTAATCTTTGCCTCGGACCAACGGTGCTCGGGCAATAGGAGTAAAGGTGGAGGAGAATGGAAGGATTCCCTTGCGGTGGATGGATAGCCACGACCGTCTTTTAGAGAGCTTCCCTCTGCTCGCGGTACACGAATCTCTCGAGTTACCCCCCTGTATTGTATTCTTCATCTCTGCATCGCCATCTTGAGACTCCATCACCCACCAAGCCACGATATTCAACACCATCCTCCGCCTTCTCCATCACCCCATCGTCATAACCATCACCTCCTCACACCTTATCTCACATATCATACGTCCGCATCCATCCGTCCCACTACTAGTACAACTCCCCGCCCGCCCTCTCTCACACTCTCTCACACTCTCTATCCCCCTCACACACCCACACCCACACTCACACCCACACACACTAACCCCATAGTTCACCTGCCCACCTCACTACCGGTGGTTGGTTTCCGGTTTGTTGGCGGTTGCTTCACTCGTGTGGGAGCGGAGGGGACCAAACAAAGCCAAACAGGGAAAATAAAATAATAATAATAAGACCCAAGAATGAGCCCTGCGGACCTAATTCTGGGTCTCCACCGAGCATTGGAGGAGCTCACCGAAAATCCCCCACCGTCGGTACCCTCGCCCGAGGAGGCTCCGAAACGCGCGTCTGTAGCTTTGGTGGTACGGGTAGGATGTCTCCCTCCTGCTGATGTGTGCTACTATGTTGGAAGCTTCTTCTTCTCCAACTTGTACCGGTGCTACGCCTCCTTGTCCCTCCCTTCACCGGGGGGAAAGGGGGGGTTTCTCAATTGACCAATCGCTGATCGTTGTCCTCCTAGGTCCAACCACACCCCTCGTACCTCCCCGCCTCAATTGATAGCTATCAAGTTGGCTGTCTGTCGGAATTTTTCGAACAGCCTTGGGTGAAACGTGGGGATCCCGAGTGCTTGTTCATTAAGCGGGCTGCCAGGAAAGGTGATCGCTGGACAAGCCATGTGGCGCTGCCGGGTGGGAAGCGGGATGGAGAAGATGAGGATGATCACAAGGCAGCCGTTAGAGAGTGCTTGGAGGAGGTAGGACTCGATCTTGATAGTGGGGTGATTATTGATTGTGGAAAGTTGCCGGATAGGGTGTAAGCCTTTTATTTTATTTTATTTTTCCCTTTCCCTTGCCCACTTTTTTCCCCCCCTCCGCTATTGAGGCTAATAATTGGTCATGATTACTGATTTGTTTGATCTCGGTGTTTTTCTAGGGTTACAACCTCTTGGGGTACGGTTCCGTGAGTAGGCCCTACTAATGAGTCCGGGCATGTGCGGATTATCACGCTCGAGATAATATTTGACCAGTATCTGACGGGGAGGGCAAATCACAGGCTCATGGTTCTTTGCCCGTTTGTTTTCCTCTGTACTTCTCCTACCGCTCCTTCGTTTACTCTGCAGCCGACAGAGGTCGCCTCGGCTCATTGGGTGCCTATTCGGACGTTGCTTTCACCAACATTTAGAACCGTGCAGAAATGCGATGTCTCCGACCGTCTCTCCCGTCGATTCTCCGGTCCGCTGGAGCCAATTGTGAGGTGGGGCTTACGAGCGAACCTTGGGCAGATGGAGTACTCGGCGGTAAGATTGTGGCCGAGCATCAGTGTTTTCTCGAGCTTTAGTGGTGACTTCCTGGACGGGGCTGAGGCTGGCGGTGGGAGTTGGGATAGACCATTGCTTTTGTGGGGGCTGACTTTGGGAGTTGTGACGGACTTTTTGGAAATGCTGCCTCACGGACAAGGGGCGGCTGGATGGACATATCCTACATTTACGAGCTGGGATGTTAGGGGCATTGTATGGCTGATGACCCGAGAAATTAGGAAGAGGAATTGGGAGGCTGCGAGAAGAGGCAGCCTTGGAAGGGCGTTTTGCGAGCATGAAGATACAGAGAGCAGTCTCGTCCTTGTCGAGGAAAATGGCAACGGCACTGCCAACTCCACGAGGGGTGAGCCCACCAGCACCGTGAAGGTTCTCTTGGAGGGGTACTATGACGTCGTGCGCAAGGCTGTATGGGTCACCCTTGGTGGGAGGGCTGTAATCGCATCGACCGCTTTGGGAGCTGCAGCATGGAGGTATACGCGACGTTAGTGTATCATTCATAGCTTGTCTTCGCCTTCCAGTGGGGTTTCATGTTCCTTGCACTCAGACACAGAGGCAATCAAGGGGGAGCCTTGTGGACCGGGGCTCGTTTGAGCCTGGGGTACAAGTACGATACCAGTACCAGCAACCTGGACTCTCTTTTTTGTAACGCATAACGATCCGAGAAAATAGAATTATGGCATTTCGCTTTCTCCTTTCATTCTTTCATTTTTTTGTTCCTGGTTGGTTGGTTGGCTGGCTGGTTGGTTTGTTCGTTGGCTCGTTTTGGGTGAAATTGTGTGTACCGTACCGTGATGCGTGCCTGCGCGCGTGTATGGATCTGTTCCTGGTCCGACATGGCTATAATGCTGGTCATGGACAGTCGTGGGAGTGGATTGGACTAGGGGAGCATGACAATTAGATCCCGATTACCATCATACCGTAAAAACTCTTGAGATTCTCTATCTCCACTACTAGCCTTGTTCTTCGGATTCTGAGTCATAGGCTCCTGGATTTCAAGCCTGGGGGTTTTTATTTTTATTTTTACGGTACTGTACATTTGACGATTAGGTGGATATGTTTGGTATCATATTATCAATTGTGGTGTTTCTATTAGTATCGTGTCGTATTAGCATCTCATCGTATCGTATCGTATCGTATCGTATGATACAAGTACAGGTATATAAAACGTAGCCTAGCCATGCCCACTTGACCTGGTTCGCACCGATTTACACTTTCTCCCGTCAAGTTAAGCTACCGTATGGCAGAAGAAGGTGGGAATCGAAAAGCAAGAATCCAAGTAGCACATGACCCGACCATAACCCGTAGCCCAGGTGCTAAGCGCCGAGGAGAGTATGGTAACTTACGAAAGTGTGAGTGAGTGAGTGAGTGTGTGTGTGTGGGAATTCTTTCTCTACGGGGTGAGGCGAAAAAAGGAAAGAAAGAAAGCGAACCTCTGCAGACGTATCATACTGTACAAGTACTAATTACCGTACAAGCGACAGGCATGATGTTTTCGTACAAGGTTAGAATAGCAGGGGTGTCCAAGACATTGAGTTTATTGCCTAGAAAAACAGAAGAACATTAGAGGGG